TGTGTGTGTGTGTGTGTTGTTTTTTTGTTTATTTTCTTTTTTTAGTGCAAGTTAATATTCCCTTCGCATTATTCATTGCTGTACATTCCTCATTCAGTGATGTCTACATTTAGTCATACGGTATACATTAACAGTATGAAACAAAAGGGCCTGCCCTTAGTAAGCAATAAGGCCGCACCCTGCACAGTGCTTTCTCATTCGCTGGTGGATTCCGCACCCCATGTACACCGAGCAAACACACAGATACATACAGACAGACAGAGGCCTCTCATACAACAGAGCCCCTCACATATGGCACGAGTCACATCCTGCTACTGTGTTTACGTTTTCCCTTCCTCCACCAATGTTTCCCCCCCATGATCTTAATGAACCGATGTGTAAATTCATTCGTCTCCTCCGAGGGTTCAGGCCTTCTGCTCGTTCATAAAATGATTTCAATGTGAAGCCTTTTCTCTCTCTGTGCAGAGATCACAGCATCCACACACTTTAGTAAGGAATGCATTTAGGTTTTGTCAGTTGTTTTTCTCAGTTAATCCACTTCCTGCATTCAGGAGCTCCACAGTGGCAGGCGATCTTGTGCTGAACCTCCGCGGTGTCAAACTGGTAGTCGAAACAAAGCTGGCGGACACAGAGAGAGACGTCAGTTTTCAGCATCACAGTCACACACTTTATCTTCTATTTAGAAAAGTGACACTCACCTCCTCGCCTTTTTCAACCCTGCGAACGCAGCTGATGATTATTTTGTAACCCCTTTCAAATGTCACCACCTCAGCAACACAGTTCGGAGCACAAGAGTGGTTGATGTATCTGATAGGGAAAAATTTAAGAGATTTATTTAAAAAATATAGAGTTTGCAAAGAATCTGAGCATGAAATAAGCAGATATATTTCATTGTACAGTAAAACTTCTATTTTGTGAACTTCAATCAAGATGTAAATAATTTGTCCATTACATGTGCTGTTTACATTACAATTGAAAACAGCTTCAAAATTCATGCATGCACCACAGATGAGGAATATGGAATCCCACTGTACCTTGCCAGCCCCCCGTTTCGAGTGGCATCAACGATATGTTCACTGTCGATGCGGAACATGAACACTTCTCGGTTCTATAAAAGATAATTTATTTGGTGTTAAAAGTCACTTTAAACAAAAAGGAATTTCAGCATTTGTTTCAGCACAGATAAGATGTATACCTGAGATCTATAGAGCTTCTCCTTCCTGATGGCAACCTCATTACGGAGGATGGTTCCATTGTACTCGATCATCATAGTTTGTTTTTCAATGTCTCTGGCAGCAAACAGCCCCAGACCCTGTGAAAACATGACATGTTCAGCCGTTCATGTTGTCCACCAGAGTTCAGGGGCATTAGTTTCACTCCATCATAGCAAAAACATTAAACTTTATATTTATCATTATTTTGAGACTCACCTGGATGCGGGAGCGGGCAAGATAGACATTGGCTCTCCACTCACTCTTCATCCAGCGGTACTGAGAGGACCTGGGGTGCACTACTGGAGGCTTGCTATGGGGGGCGCCACCTTCTCCTTGGGCCACATTCTGGTTAGACCTGGCGTTGCTGGTGGATACAGCCTGTGCTTGTGGCCTACATTTATTAAAGAGGGAAATCATGAAAACAGCAATGAAAAATGAAATATCACAATATCTTTTTGTAAAAATTATGATTCGGGGAAATGCTGCAAGAGCCTGTGATGACAAATGATTTCAACTTCAACCGAAGGTACCTTATGACCAGAGAAGAGTAGGTGGCGTTTGTCCTTGGCTGGACGCGGGCGCTGCCAGCTGGATTGAACACGAGAGGCAACTCCAGGAGAGGGTTACGTCCGTAACGGAACGAGTACCTGTCACATGCCTCTACTCCTGGGAGCTGATATAAATGAGTAATGAACAAACAATTGGTTATATGCTGCAGTTTCTACAAAATATGGTCTGAACAATTGTTTGAATGTAATTTTTTGAGAATCATAAAAAGCAGCTACGAACCGATTCGGTGATCTTGGTGACTGCAGGGACTGTGAGGCCAAACAGGTCCTCTCCTTTCAGGTAAATAGGGAACAGCTTCAAAGTACCTGATTCAGTTCTTTTCTCAGCAACAGGACCCAGAACCTTGTCCCACACTCCTATTTACAGTGAGACAAGCACACTTGAGGGTTAGAGACGATGCTCTGGAAGCTGAACACACATAAATTTGTGTCAGTGAGAACAAACCTTTAGCAGAGGTGTCAGTCAGGACCAGGTCTTGGTAGCCCTGTTCAATGACTCTGATGGTAAACTCTGGCAGTCCCTGGCTGTCTTCAACAGAGCAGATGTAACGGCAACGGTGGCTGCCATGGCGCATACTCCAATAAATGCGGCAAGCCTCATAGCCGTTTGGAAAGATGGCTGTTGTGGAATGGAAAGCTGCCATTTGTAGAGGAGTAAGTTGACCCATTGCCTGCAACACCAGGCTGCCAACTCTAAAGGTGTAGCCTAACTCGGGATGCTGCACCGCAGTGGCAATCTGACGCACTTCATCTCTTTGGACGTAGACACGTCGAAAGACAGCGAAGCAACGTAGCTCGTGCTCAAGTGCTTGTCCTGCTGTTCCCCGGGGCCTGTGGGCGTGACATAGCATGGTCTTGTCCTTGAAGAAGGTGCACTGAGCTTGCAGGGCACATGTAAAATGGTAGACATTGGTGCAGCGTAGGCGGTGGCAGCCACTAGTGGCTCCTGTCTGCTGGCAGTAAGCGCAGCGGACCGCTTGACCTCGACGCAGTGCAAGCTCCACGTTGATGAGGGCGCCAGCCTGGGTTTCATACACCTCAGTTGACCACAGTGCACAGTTAAGGTGAACCCATACATCGAGATCAAGATTAAGCAGCCTAGCAGGGCCATCGGTGTTCCCATCTCCAAACTGGTGGCAGAAACAGCAACGTCTGTGGTCCTGCAGAGAAGCAGGGGGACGCAGGGAGGCCCCGAGTTTCTTGAGGAGTTCATCAATCTTATCCTCATCTGGGAGTTGGGAATTCCCTCTCGGTATCACTACTTGGACAGTCCACTTCCTCCAGCGGAGTCCTTTCTGTCTTTTTCCCTGGTTCCAGCAGTCATTGGACCTTGGCCGGGCCTTCAGCTTCACTGTCACTTTGATGGCGTCAGACTTAGTCTCCATCTTTGGTGTCTCACCTGCTGTGGGGAAAGGGATAGGGGTAGAAGGGGGAGACTGTTTGGGCTGAAGCTGGGCCAGGCAATGCACGTCCAGCGATGACATTTTATTACTGTACTGGTGCTGAGCTTTAGAAAGGCTCTCGATTTGCTCTGAGGCAGGGAGAAGGGACACAGATTCCTGAAGAAAAGGGGAATGACAACAAGCAAAACAAAGTCAGTCATCATAACTTCATCTTGGATTCCCTGTGGTGCTTGTGTGTGTGTTACACTGATACAAACCTTTGTTTCTGTGGCTGATCTAGACTGCAGTGGTGATGAGGAACAGTAGAGAAGGAAGCAGCTGTGGCTGCAGAACACCAGGTCTTCTTCAGATTTCAAACGGCCTTCAGATTCCTAGTGAGACAAATCCATCTGAGTTTTAACAGGCTGAATAAGGAATGAGGTGTTAAATCAAAGCCTGACCAACGTGAACTTCTTAAGCTCAACTGACGTTAAAGCAAGTTTTGAAATAAACATCAAAAGCATACAAAATTTAAATAACCAAAATATTCTCAAGACTGGCGTCATGGGATATGCTGTTAAATCCATTTCATATCAATTAGTGGGTTAAACTCTGGCAGGCAGAATTTACATAATCAGCGTAGGCTACACGGCAGTATTACTGGTACAGTGTGTGTGTGTGTGTGTGTGTGTGTAAGAATATATACTGATGTGTCTGTGGCCCTCCAGGCTGAAAGGAGATAATATATCCTTTAGGATAAAGGTCTGGACATGTCATCATAGCTCATGTAGTCCACCCCCACTGGGAAATCAATAATAAAATGATCCATAGCTCTTTGGCAGAGATTAGTTTTTATGAACTTGGACGAGATATATATGTATTGCATCAGCATGTTGCAATTTATACAATCCCAGTTTTGTTGTAAAGCTTATGATATAAGAGCAAATATTGTTGACTGTCTATTTACTGCTACTGTGATCTTTCGGTAGGAAACCGAGGAGTTGATTTCCATCACTACGTTTAACTATCATGGTCTCAATTTCACACTTTCAGCATCCAAGTGCTCTAGTTAAGGGATAGTCTGCCAAATTATTATACCACCCAGCTACACTAATGAGTACTTTGTTTTGTTACCTTCATGTGAGCAGGCATATCTTTGTTAGATTTCTGTACTCCATTTCCCAGAACCACAACCTTACAGTGGCAGCACCACTGGGGTTTACAGCTTGGGCTGGCAGGGGTCCTCTGGTCAGGTCCTCGAGCTACAGCAGCCCCTGATGTAACAGAAAGTGTTTGTTATAACTATATACATTTCAAAAATACATTCTGTGGTTGTAAATCTGCAGAGGCATCACACTTGACGTTAGGCAAAAAAATAAATACTAGCTTAGAAAATAAAAAAATAAAAAAACCTTTCTTATCCACAGTGTTCTATGCCGACATTAACAGTTATTAGACCTGTTACTAGAATTTTGACAGGAATAAGCAGGAGTTTTGTTTTCTAACCAACTTAATTTCATTACCAGAGAATCTATGAAATCCATTATGATGCCTCTCAGCCATATGCAAAACAATAAGCAATTTGTAAAAACTATGAAGAAAGATAATCACTCCTGTGGATGTTTACAGGGAAACAATTACATTTGGAGATTGCGTTGGTGAAGTTGTTATTTTAGGTTTAAATCAGACATGACATTTCTAATTAAAGGCTGTATTGCATGTGAATCACAGATGCTCCTGTTTAATTTAAATTTAATCCCTCACCTGGGCTGTTGGGATGGAAGCGGAAATGGTGAGCATGCTGCTGTTGCATCATCCCCTGCGCTCCACCGGATCTTATCATCTGCCCTGGCCGCCCGTGAAGCCCTCCATTGTCTCCCTGTCCATGGTAGAGCATAGGGGGCCGCTGCTCCATACCATGGGGCCCTCCCCTTGCACCGCTGAACATAGATAGCGGCCCCCTGTCTGGGGTGCTGCTGACCTCATAGCTGCTGGGAATCTTCACACACAGTAGGTCTGAAATGGCTGCCACTACACCTGTGATGTTCTGAGAAAACACACAAACACACAAAAACAGTTATAAGATATTTTATTAACCCTACCCTGAAAATGGACGTCCCGCAGGTGGCGCCCTAACCCCCTACGAAAGACTTGATTGCACGGGTCAGTATAAACGAACCTATAGTTAGAACTTTCATTTGCAGCAGAAAGTCAAGGCCTGTTTTTTACCTCATCACATTGTATGCCTGTGATGATGTCATTACGTTTCATTACAGGCGGTGGAAAATGTGGCACCAGAGTGTGTCAGGAGAGAAGGCCAGATTTTGGCCACTGTTTCAAACTTATAGGACTAGAAAGAAAAACTAAAATAATGTGAGATCATAGTAAACTTTTCTTACCTCAGCTGCAGCTGGTCTCAAAGTGATAGCAACAGACACCAGTCTTTGTTTGGAATCATTAGACACCGAGCCAAAGGGGGAGCCGAAGAACATTGCAGATGGCTCAGTCTTGATATCTTGCAGTTTGACCTCTGACCCTTGAAGACAGAAAAGAATGAAATTCATAAAAAAAAATGCCACACTAACAACCAATGAACTACGATTTGGTTTTTAAATATGGTGGAGTTGTGTATATTTACCTTTCCCATCAGGTGCAGGAAGCATGGGGAGGACAGGAGACAGGCAGGGGGATGGTGGCTCTTCCTTCACCAGAGAGAGGTCTGGGTAGCGACTGATCTCCATGCCAAACACGCTCTCAGGAGATGAGGATGGAACAAAACTGTCAGGCGTGTCCCGGTCCTTACAAGGCTCCTGTCCTCTGTTACTATTAATATTTGGGGAGGAAGACAAAACAGTTAACCACGATGCAGCCAAAATCGATCGCAACATTATCATACAGGTCTAAAAATTGATAAAATTATATTGGAGCTTTAGTTCTTTGAAATAATGAATTTGTTTTTTTCGTTACCTGAGCTCCTCCTGGTTGTTGTGTGGAGGGGTGGGGAGTGAGGCTGGAACATCCACCGTTTTGGGTCCCTGGGCAATGGCCCTGGCTAGTAGATCTTCTTCAGTCTTAAATGGGACATGGAGCGGCTTTGGGACCAGGCCTTTGGACACTAAATGAAACAGGAGCATGATGCAATTTTGAATGTGCACACACACGGCTTCCCTGTTAAGATGGAGATACATCTGCATTCTGTTTTTCTGAACCAATTGTATAATGTGTGACAGTGAAAAAAGGTCACCTTGTCACATAAAAACAAAATGTTGAAAATGTATCCTTACTTGTCATCAGAAATGTGACATTAACAACACCCTCATGTTTTCTTACCCATGGCAGCAGCTTTGCTCGCCAGTTCTTCTGTTGTGGCAAATCCGTTGATCATTTTCTGTCGATTTACGGGAGGAGGGGTGGGAGGAAGAGATGCCGGTGGTGTTGGTGGATTACTCAGGTTACTCTGCGGTGGGAATCAAAACCAGCACAATGTCAGCTGGAATCAACTTCACACAAACCACTCTGTTTAAACCTAGCAAAGTAAGCAGGTACGCACCTTGTAGGCCAGTTGGGAGTAATAGTCAGAGACACCATCAAGTGAAGCGCTGCCAAAAGTACCAGATAAGAGGTTCTCTCCATTGAGCTGGCCGCTGCCATAGGGAGCGAAGTGGGCAAAGTTGACCCCAATCAAGGGCTCCATGAGGGGCAGCAGGGAGAGCTGCTGTGTCAGGAGAAAAAAATACAACAAGAGAGAGAGATAAGTGTAAAATCAGAAAAGAGTGCCACAAATGTTCTAGAACCAAGGAGACACCAAACAATATAACAGAATAGAAAATAAAAACAAAAGTAACAAAAGTAAGATATAGCATCTACTTTATTTCTGATCAACCCGGTAGTCTTGGAAAATAACTTTTTTCAGGTTAACCCCTTTTTGTTTGTTGCCAAAGCTGAACCCAGGACTGACTGACTTTAGTTTGGATTAAAGAGAGGAAAAAAGAATCATCAAAGTCTGATGTAAGATATGGTCCAGTTATCTTCTCCTCTTCAGACTTCAGATCCAGGCAAGTGAATGTGGGTGTTATCTCTCCTTCATCAAAACCAATCTTCATATCACATTTAACTGACAGTGTCTGTGGTGTCCCATGTGACAGTTTCTATATTGTCACATGTGACAGTGTTTATGATTTCATATTTGACCTTGATTGTTAAATTTCATTTATCTGGACTTCAAAGCCATCAAGGCTAGGTTCAGTGCCTATAAGAGTTCGGGAAGAGACCTTGGGAGGACAACAGCTCCAAAACTAGACCACAGATACTTAAATCTTCGATACACGAGACCGTCAGAAGACAGAATATACTTCAGTACACCTACACTGTTCCTGTATTTAGCCAACATGCCGAAGAACAAGTCAAAAAGGGTAAGGTTTCTAAGCAGGAAACATGTTTTTTAGTGTTACACTTTACATGATTTCACACTCGTCTCTGTCTTTTCAGGAACTGGCCTTGATGACCGACAAGGACAAGGCAAAGATAGAAAAGGAGCAAAAGAAAGCAAAGAAAGAGGCAGAAAAGAGGCTAAAGAAGGAGCTGAAAGAGAAGAAGAAGCAAGAGAAGAGATAGAAACTAGACAGAGAGAAGGAGGAGAAGAGGCAAAGGAAATGAAAAAAAAAATATGTACCTCTTTTAAAAAATAAATAAAGTTGAAATTTAATCAACATCTCTTGTTTCTTCCTCAATACACCCTGGTGTTCATTTTGTAAGTCATGGTTCCATATACAGTCAAATAAATGATGTGTATATGATATATACTGTATATATAATGTGATTGACAGCTAGTAATGTTCAATGGGTGCAGGTTGCAGGTGGAGGAGGGTGTGCAGTGTCCTCGAGCTCTCAGTCAGGCTCCACCCCTCGCTCCTACTAATGTGGTCACTTCCGATTTAAAAAAACAAGATGGTGCCGGACCAAATAGACGAGAGGCTACAAAGCAGCAGCTCACAAACCGAGCAYGCTCCGTTTCATTGTTGCAATGCTGCATCATCAGATTTGTTCCATCTCGWCTGTTCACAAATGATCTGACACAGATTGCAGCCATCAGGAAAAATTAAACAAGCAATCGGTATTTGATGAGTCAGAACTAGTTAAGTTAAATAATCTCATTGTTCAACGTGACTCCTGACTGGACAGATGTTACAGAGATGAAATCAGGAGCTTAGACGATCATGTGAGGATTTCTATAAGTTGTGAAAAAAGGTGAAAAGTGTGTTTGTAACAACTCCGCAGGTTTCCAACACACACACACACAAATAATGTGTATAGATATGAAAACAGACCAAACCTCTGCTGCGTCCATTTATATGGCGAAATCTTAGTGCCCCTTGTGCAAAAAGTCCATTAAAATAGCACTAGTGTGTAGAAGGTGAAGAGAAATGACAGTTTAATATTGTTTGAAAAAGACTTGAAGTGATTATAACATATGTTGGGTAAATAAAGTATATTTGTGCTTTTTGTACTGTTCCAATAGAAATCACACAGTTTGTGGTACTGTGTTTCCAAACTGATCGATCAATCAATAAATACATTTTTTATATACTCCATATTCACTTATAATTTGCTTCATAGGGCTTATATCATGGAAAACTGTTTGTTTATAGTGTGAGAATATACTAAGTATAGTACATGCTCATTAAATTGTTGCTTGTGTTCAATGTGATGATGAGATTATACCAATGTATACTTCTAATAAGCAATTTAGCTTCATAAATTCGGAGTCATAATTAAATTACTGAGGAATGTGCAAGATAAGTTGAAAAATATATGCTAATATGCGAATGTACAATTGAAACAAGTAGCCTACCTTAAAAAAGTCAGGGGCGGGTATGTTGATAGACAGTTTCCACTGAGGCAATAATTAATACTGTAAATGTCAGCATAAGTAAGTGTATGAGAGGGTGATCAAATTAGTCTTACTTGTTTGATTTGGGTTATTACAGAGTCTGGGCCAGAGTGCATCAGTTGCCTCTCATCTCCATCCTTCTTCCTCTTCTTATAGCGAGAGGCAGGTTTCTCTCCTCCTTTTGGTGCCCTCTTGTTCCTCCCTTTCTTTTTCTCCTGTTCAGGGAGCAGAGGTCCAGGAAAGTCAGGGGTGCCGTCTGAGTACGCCTAGGGACGATAAAAAGATGACTTCAAATGACTTGAGAGGCTTTATGGCTTTGAGTTAGGTGTTTTCACACATTACTATGACTCATTCAAGAACTAATGCCAATTTAACTATAATGTGCCACCCATCTGAATCCCAGCCCTTCTATAACTCGATGTTTGTCATCCTCTTAGCACTCTTTAATGGTATGACTAACAACACTGACCCCATTGCTGTCCATGGAGCATTGTCTCAACAGCGCTTTGCAGTCTGCAGGGTCTTCCTCCTCTGACCTCTGCTGGGGCAATCCAGGTGGAGGTGTGCTCTTGTTCTTCAGAAGGTGTTTCAGCAGTTCATTTCCAGCCTCACCCTTGTTTGGACTTTGCCCTGCAGGGAAGGGAGATGTGTTCCCTTTACTACCCTCCTCCTTCACAGAGCTCATTTCTGAGCCGATGGGCCCGTGACAGTCAGTGGCATCAGTCTGCTCCAGCTTTATGTTGTTAAGGATCCGATCATGCTCCAGTGCCTGTGTCCTTGCTGCATCTGATGAGAGACCAGGTTGTCCAGACTGTCCTCCAGAAAGCTGTCTTTCCAGCTCTGAGTGACTGGGAGTGGAAGATCCCAGTAATGGGGACCTTGACAAGTCCTGGTCTCCAAAGAGATGGGTGTTTCTGGTTGGAGTTGAGGAGGTGTCTGAGACACATGGTGTGAGAGGGGCTGTTAGGTCAGAGTGTGGAGTTGAAGGTGTCTTGACTGAATCTGCGTCATCGTCTTTCTTCTTTTTGCGGCTCCTCTTCTTTTTCCCTTTCTCATCTGGGATGATGTTGGAGTAGAGCTGGATAAGAGACTGACCTGAGCCTGGGAAGTTAGATGGTAGAGGTGTAGCAGAGTCAAATGGCAGACTCTCACCTGGCATCTGAAGCATCATTCCTGGTCCACTGAACTGACGAGGCCTTAGCTGACCCTGGGGGAAGTTAGGAGCTTGTAGGGCAATATTATCAGGCCCAAAACCAGGTCCCATATCCCCAGGCATCATACCATTGCCCATCATGGCCCTTCTTTCACCTTGCATGAACGTTCCAGGTGGTGAGCCCATTCCAGGCTGAGTGCCCTGCTGCTGGGGAAACACTGGTCCGAGAGGCTGTTGTTGTAGAGGGGGCCTCTGAGGCTGCATGAAGTCTTGTGGCAGCTCTGCATTAAAAAATGGCATCTGAGCAAGCGGTGCCATGTTTCCATCTGGCCCCATCATCCCTTGTTGCTCCATTTCCATACGATGTTTCAGGGCCCTCTGTCGTTCAACTTCCTGCATGAGCTGCACCCGCTGTCTCTCCTGCTGCTCCCTAAGCCTCTCTCTCCTTTCCCGCTCCTGGAAGCCTTCGCTGAATGGGTTGTTGTCATCAAACTTCACACCGCCCCCCTGCATGGGTTTTACACCACCTGGTGGAGCTGGTGCAGCTTGGGGCTCCACAGGCATTTGTGAGTGCTGAGGCATGTTACCCATTGGCATCTGATGAGGCTGACCTGGATTTCCTACAGGTACCTGGGGGGGTATTATTGGGGGCATGCCTGGTCCGCCCATGGGCATGGGAGCACCTGGATGCCAGCCAGGCGGTGGGTTGGGCATACGTGGAGGTGCATTTCCCTGGCTGGGATGATGTGCCATCTGCATCATGGGGTTCATAGGAGGCTGAACTATGGGTGGTACACTAGCGACCATGCCTGCAGGACCTGGCATTGGGTGCATCCCAGGCATTATGGGTGTCATATTGTTTTGCTGGTGTTTCACTCTGTACTCCTCGATAAGTTCAGCATGCTCCTTCTGCTGCTTGCGGATCTGGAATAAAACACATAGCACATTAACATAATCTGTGACCAAGGTTCTTAAATTATGTTTTGCTTGCAAGTGGTTTTATCACATTTACAAGACTCAAGGGAGAAATGAGTAAATAATTTTGCCTTCAAATAGAAACTGAAGAATTTAACTTTATGCCCACATCAAGAAAATACTATTGTCTAAAAGCTTTTGTATTCCACCACTGTTCTTTTTGCGAGTCAAAGCGGGCTGACAGGTGCAATAGAGTCTATGCTTTAAAATCTGTTGGTTTGGAGCATGAATAAGTAAAAAAGATATTTTCAAAAGCAATAAAAAAAAAAAAGCAAGCTTCCCAATTCATTTTGTATGTTAATCTAGCTTTGGCTTAAAACCTATTGCCTAATTAGGCTTTAACAGTACAGTGTTTTGCTAATATAAAATGGACAATTTCCCTAAAACTCTTTAGTTTGCTCTAAAAGAGGATTTTGGAAAAGGATATTGTATGACTATTGAGATGATACCTTTTACATTTTTGATCATATACAAATATTGATGTTTTCCTCTGCTACACCTCATTGAAACACCACACAGCCCATACTGTGGTTAGAAGAAGCCTGGTGTTTGCTCATATGTTAGGAGAACTAGATCTTGCAGAAAGCCATATTTGATTTACAGACTGCAATTTTCTAATCCTTACTTTAAAGATGAACTCTCAACATAGGAGGAAATAGGGACTATGTTAGGGTGGCCATTGCATGGAAAAGTTAACGCTGTGACAGAATTCAATGGAGGAGCTTGACAGGCTGAGCATTTACCTGCTCCAGTTGCTTCTGCACTACACCCTGTTGCTCTGTGACGTGTTTGAGCTGCTCAGCATCCTCCTCAGGGAATTCCCTCCCTGCCTTCTTAGCTGTTCTCTGCTTAGCAGACAGGGCTTTCTTAGACTTTCTGTGAGCACCGATCTTCTCTTCTAGAAACTTCTGCTGCATTTGAAGTAGTTGCTGCGTCTCCTGGAGCCACTCCTCGTACTGAGCCCTCTGAGCATTGTCTGAAAGGAAAAAAAGTCTCTTTTGTTAGCAATCTGGAAAGCACACAAAAACAAATATATATACTTTTCTGTTCCTGACAAGCCTTCAAACTAAAAAGTTGAAAAGGCACATAAATCTTTACAGAACTTACTGACAAATCCTGGTCCAAAGTTTGGAGGAGTTGGTCTTACTACTTGTGTCAATTTCCCATCCTGAAAGCGAAGTTGACAAGTATGTTGTTATATAATTGCAACTTTAATATTTTACATCACATAACATTAAGTACGATCTAAGAAAAACAAATTCATTACCTGTCCAACAGGTTGTGGAGGAGGTGGTGCACTTTCAGGAGAAGGTGGAACAGGAACGGGAGGGAATCTGTAATACAGCAATACCACAATAACACTATTTAATTAAATCTACCACAGCATACATTGGTATTGCCATTGCTTAAGACCAGTATTGCATTTAAATCATTGAAAAAGTGATCTCTTTACCTGTTCATGACCATCGGGGTCATCCCCATGTTGTTTTGAACCATGACTTTGTTGATGCCTTTTAGGGCAACCATTTTGGCTTTCATGATGGGATCAGTGATGGCATCAAAATCTGTAATAATGATTAGAAATAATCACAAAAAGAGCAATAATCTCAAAAATGAAACTGTGCTGACATACTGAAGTTCTGGTCTAAACCATTTACCAATGTTAGGGAAGAAGGAGTCACTGGAACGCTGTCGTATCATGGCTTGCATCTGCCTTTGCTGCTGCTGCTCCTGCCTCTCCTGGTCTAGGAGGTCCTGCAACAGGAGTGGCTGCTCCTCCAGCAGAAGAGGACGATGTAACTGGCCATGCTGATCCAATTCCTGGCTCAAAATTGCCTGCTGAGTCAGACTGCTCTGGTCCACTCCAGGGGTTAGCCCCACCTGGTGGTCTGCTCCAAAGCCAGTCATAGAAGCTTCTCCTGCAGTGGTGTCGTCGGATATTGTTTGACTCATTGCAAGTCCTGAGGTATGCTGAGTGTCAGTGACTTGGTTCTGCTGGGGTATGAGGTTACCTCCATGACTGACAGATTCAACAATTGGATTTAATGACTGCTCCTCAGGCTGCTGCTTAATGAGTAAACTAGAAAGGACTGGGGTGGAGTCAGAGAGCACTCCCTGCTGATTCGAGGTTAAGGTGTTTCCAGCAGATTGCTGGTCTACCACCTCAGGTGCTTTCTGACAGTCTTTGACCTCTGTTTTAATTTCTTTCCCAGGTGCTAAAGAACCAGAGTCCTGATTCCCTGGGGCTTCCAGTTTGATGTTGGCTGAGGATTGCTCACACAAGGTCTCTGACTTTGCCATTCCAGATGCTGAACTGGACGAAGCCTCAGTTTCACTGCTCGAGCTTTTGTTGAGGTCTGCGGTGTCATCCATAGGATCGCTGAGATCCAGTTCATCATTAAACATGTCCTTCTTGATGTCATCTAGGTCAGGGTCTGTATAAGCAATGATGTCAAATTTCCCAGATGTTAGGAAGTCATCAAGGTGTAGGTCATTAGTCTCCAGATCGAGGTCTTTCCCATCTTCAGGATCCAAATTTAGGTTTTCTAAGTCTGCATCCACTAAATCTTTCACCTCTACGTCCTCAAGATCTTTGACTGCAGATTCCTCTGTATCCAGTTTCTCCTCCACAGCTTCACTGCCGGCCACATGGACAGTCTCAGTCTGACCAGCAGGGGGTGCACTCAGGGTCATTGACGTAGCCATGTTCTGGGTCTCATTTGAAGCAGGCTGGCTCATGGATCTCATCAAAAGAGACTGTTTGATTGCGTTATTTCCTGCCATTTGTGTATGCTGATGAAGATTGTCCATGCTGGCAGACATCTGTACATGGCCAGTCTGACAGGTCATGGGGTCTAACATCCTGGACCCCTGATTTAAGGGGAACCTGGAATCAGGGGCTCCTGGAAAGCCCACTGGCCTTAGAACCTGCATGCTGGGATCGATGTTGCTGCCTTGCATGGCACCTGTTGGAAATGGCATGCGTGACCTGTTGTCTGCAGCTCTGTGTCGCAATTCAATGAAAGGCTGGCCCATTATATTGTGCTGTTGCACTGGCATACCCCGTGGTGGGAAGTGTTGGGGTAGCCCTATGTGGTTGCCTCCCATGCTGTTTGCCATTTCTGCAGATATGGAGCGTCTCATTTGAGGAGGGACATCCTGCATTGGGTGTTGTCCCCGGGGAAAGTACTCTTGAGGTCCATGTGGTCCAATAACCCCAGGTGGAAATGCAAACCTGGATCAGCATAAAAAAACAAAAAGGAAAGATTTTTTGATTGGTGCAGTACTGAGTTCAATAATCAATAAGAGAGCATTCATGCACAAAGTGAAATAAAAACAACAACATTGTAACACAAACCTGGGTCCCTGGTGTCTCAAATTAGGAGGATGTGGGCCCCGAGGCATTTGTCCCTCATTAGGGAAAGAGACACGCTGATCCCCTGGAAAATGTCCAGGAAATCTCATTGGCCCTCTCATGGGTCCTTGTCCAGGATAAGGTGGAGGAGGTCGGTTGAACATTTCCCCCTGCTGCCCAGGGCCCTCCTGAGGCCAGGGTCGTGGCGTTCCTGGAGTTATGCTTCCAGCAGGGTCCTGAGGGCCCCTCTCCTGTCGAATTGCACTCCTCTGTTGCTGCTGCTTTAGGATTAGTTCTCGAATTCGTTGTCTCTGCAAAACATTACAAGTGGAGAGATATTTAAACCTTTTTTAACACAGTCAATTGGCAATGTACACATTATTTTATTTTAACTATGTATTTAACTATATTTTAACTGCTCATTCTACACAGTTAATGTGGAGCAATGCAATTCAACCAAGTCCCTTTTTCCATTAAATGCCTATTTTGAATTCTCCAAACAAAAACTTCTGACCTGCTGTTCAAAATAGATACTGATGTAAAGGTTACAAATCCAACAATTTAGAGCAATGTAAAGGTAAGATAGTTAAGTACAGTAAGCATATTCCTATTCTTAACAGGCACTATATGTAATTATATGAAATAAATTATATTTTATTTCTTGTTTAAACTAGTGACAAGTCTCACTGCATACTCAAAGTTAGCATTTGTTGTTCTGCATTAATATGATTTAATTTCCCAAATTCTTCTGAAGCTGTATCTGAATTGTATGTTTTTTTGGTTTTACTACCAAAACCAACACTTCAGACTTAATGACAAAATTAATAATAATGATAATTGAAAGACATTGTTAAGAAATTATTCAAAATAAATGAAAGACCAGTGGAAAATAACATTTCAACAGACATGTATGGATAAAAAAAAGATTTAGAATAGCATACTGACAACTGTATTCATGTACCTGTCTGAGTCTTTCCTCGCTCTCAGCAAGAGCAACACCCTGAGCCTCAGAAGACACACCAGGCATGTGTGGGTTGTTAGACAGTTGGCCTGGGTCTTGAGGGATAGCTCCATTGTTACCCACACCTGACTGATCTTTCATTTCCATTTTCTCTATTGACTGTGGATGAGGGGTCATGGGGGCTTGTTCAAATGGGTCATGGACAGGTGTCTGATTGAGTCTTCTTGAAGGTGACTGAGTAAATCCATCTTCAGACACACTCAGGTGTTTTGGTGTTAGTGAGCCTGGATGAACAAAGGGCTCTTGAAGCCTGCCTTGGGGTGGTTGAAAAGGGTCCTGGCTTCCCATTGGTCCTGGCCTGGGCCCTTGTCTGCCGAGGCCATCAGGACCAGGCCGCGGGGTACCTGGAGGCTGCGCATAAGGGTCATTCAGCATTGTTCTTGGGACCCCAGGCTGAGGAAACATGTCACTACTTCCTGGTCGTGACGTCCCAGGTGTGCTAGTAAATGGCTCAATTGGCCCCCTTTGGCTGCCTGGTGATTTGGAAAACCTCTCCCCCACTGAGGGCCGTGGAGTACCTGGTGGCTGAGCATAAGGGTCTACTGAGTGGGAAGGTGACATCCTCTGTCCAGGGTGCGACTGGTGAGTGAACTGGTTCATCCCAATGGGTCGTGGGGTAGCAGGAGCCTGTGAATAAGGGTCTGAAGATGGGCTAGAGGTGTTTGATGGCTGACCGTAGTTGTCATGTGGACGTGGGGTGCCGGGGGGCCGGGCATATGGCTCAAAAAATGGACGCGGTTGACCACTGAGGTCATTGATGGATCGTTGGTTAACTGTAGACTGAGAGAAAGGGTCAGCAGCTTGCTTGCTGGGACCAGAGGGTTGGGCAAAGGGGTCATACGTAAAATGGTCAGGCCTTGGAGTGGAAGGTGCATGAGCATAGGGATTTCTAGACATTTGAGTCATTGGTCCTGGCTGAGAAAATGAGTGCCCCTGAGAGTGATGCTGGACCATTCTAGGAGGACTGGTGAAGTTGTCATTCCCAGATGGTCTTGGCGTATTGGTAGGCTGAGAAAAGGGGTCATTCAGCTGATTCTGGGAGAACCTGTCAGAAGGATGAGGACCTGAACGACTGAAGTGATCCTGAGCCTGAGGAGGAGGCATAGGTGTTTTGAATAGAGGGACAGAGCCAGACTCATTACTTCCGGGGATTGGTGTTAGTAATGGTCTTGAATAAGGGTCAGACAAAATCATCCTATTCTGGGCCATGCGCTGATAAGCCTCATTTCTTATCATGGGCCTTGAGTAGGATTCTCTGCCCGGAGAACCCATTGGGGGTCTTCCCTGAGCAGCCTGACTTGCCCTTGGCGGACCCATGGGCTTCAAAAAAGGGTCCATATCCCCAGTTGGCCTTGGGGTGTCAGGAGGTTTGGCATAAGGATCATTGCTCATGGATGTTGGAGAGCCAAAAGATTCATGAGCAGGAGAGGGCCGACCTCTGTCTTGTTGCTCCATCAAGGCAGTGGGGGATTTACCAGATTCCACTGCCATTCTGCGACATGCATTTGGCCCAAGAGTTGGTGGTCTTGGGGTTCCAACCATCTTGGCATATGGGTCCCATGGAGAAGAGGGTCTGGAACCCGAGGAGCTTGGTGAGAATACCTGTGGGGACTGAGGTTGGGAAGAAGGGCCAGATGGAGGGGGAGGAGGGGGTCTTAAGAACACATCTTCCGGAGGGCCTGAAGTAGGTGTCCCTGGTAGCTGTGGCCTGGCAAAGGCATCTTTAGAGTTGAGCTGCTGCATGGGGGACATGCTGCCATTGCTGGGCTGTGAGGCTGGGCTCTGGTTCCCACTGTTGTTGCCGTCTTCCTCTGACTGACTGTTGGTCTGCTGCTGTTGCTGCTGTTGTTGCTGGAGTTGCTCATTCTTAACTTGCTCCAGTTTCTGAGTGGCTTCAATTTTGGCTTGCTGTTTGCTTTTCTGCCTCATTTGCTGTTGGAAGGGCACATGAAAACTGGAATTAGACATCAGAAGGGATGAGAAAAATATCAGTCTTATGCCAAAAATGAACTGGACCTACTAACCACCAATGTCATCAGGGTTAATGTGGAGGATAGTGAAGTTGTTTAGGGAGCTTTACTAAACCAGCACTTCTTAGCTGTCTTAATATAAAGTGGACCTGCCGCTGCATTCCCTGACTTCATTGCATACACTCTTACCTGTCTAAACTTCCACTCTTGTTCATGCTCTGACTCTTTTGGTTTCAAAGGGTCTTTAAACAGCAGTTCTGTGTCTAGTGGTATGTTGGGATCAAACACCTCAGGGGGCTGTTGCTGTGGATGTTGCCTCTTCACCGTCTCATTCGACATCTGGACTTTGTTGATGCGCAGGGCAGCTCGGTTATCTCTTGCCTTTTGCTAAACAGCAAATCAATCACAGTTGCAATAAAAACACATCAGACAAAAATAAAACAAAATATGTAAAAACAAAATATTGCAGAAAAAAGTTACCTGTGTAAGTCTGATTCTTTTACATGTGTGGTAATGGGGCAATCAAATGCATACTACTGCATGAAATACAGTGTATGTAATATTCAATTCACCTTTACAGCATTTGTTTCATCATCTCACTATGATAAGTAGGAACTTAAATATTGTCAGGCAAGGATATATAAAATGATTACAGCAACAGAAGTTATCTCAGATTAAAGCATATCTCAAATGTCAAACTGTTGAAACTTGGTGTGACTTGTAGGTTTTCTAACCTACAACAGGAGCATGCCCATGACCCTTTTTATGGTGTAGAAAAAGGAGCTCATCCTGTTACTCTAAATAAAGTACCTCAATAGTTGCTTGATAATAACTGGGATGTTTTAAGAGAACAAAATTCTACCATGTGAGTTAATGTAAAATATACAAAAAAAAAGACATCTAGTGAACTTAATAACATCATAGTGAGTTCTAACACTGAGCAGGGCTTCCAATGTTAATTGCTTCATCTGTGAATGGCCGGATTTCAAATTGCATTGGCGAGTGGCAATAGGTCAGATGCAATACAGGCGTCTGCTTTATGCATACAAATTTGTCAATACAAATAGCAGTGACAGTTTGATGTCTGGTGTAATTCAAGGTTTTTAGGCTTTTAGACAGCTGAAGAAAATTGGAAAAGTCAACAGTATGATTGATCTTACCACATATGGGGCCCTATCTTGTGAACTAGCTTTCCTCCAAAGTTTTGCAATTTGCTTTACTCTTGTAGACCAATCTGTTGAAAGAGTGAGAAGAGGAGTTGTCATGTCAACAGTCTCAAAGAGCATAGAAGGTAGTTTTTTTTAACAGTCCGAGGCAATGCAGTGGGTGCACCCAAAAAATACAAATGACACAAACACAAAAAAATAAAATAATACGATAATTTCACAATAGAAAAACATAGGGGAGGAATGCACTAAAAATTCAGATCCATGTACAAACCTGGGTATTCCTCTTTGAGGTTGGGGAAATTGACATTGGTATAAAGGACAGGTGCGACAGTGGCTAGCTCTCCAAGTGTTTCCTCCTTCTCCCACTTGAGTGTACTCCTTTGGGCATTTGACATGGCTTCAGTCTCCCCCTCAGGCAGAGGTCCAGGGGTTGTAGGGCCAGGGCAATGGGCAGGGGAGGGCCATTGACTAACTGCCTCTCTAGGCATCTGATTAAATTTTCTATCCCTGTTATAAAAAAGGAAAAGAGGTCATGAGGTCACAATGGTCTTCAAAAAACCCCCAAAAGGCTTGTAATCGTTTAGACAAAAGAAGTGTTACCTTGGATTGTCAGTGAAAGGCATACGGTTAAGGGGAGAGAAATTTTCTGGGATGCAGGGACCTACTCCTGGATTTGCTGGGAAACGTTGGTTTGGTCCCATCATACCATTTATCATTGGCATCCTTGGAAACATTTGATTCCCTACAAACATTTTTTAGAGCTGAATTAGACACATACATTTTCAAAAACAAAAAAAAAACAAAGAAAGAGTTCAGCGCAACATAGTTGACCATGACAAGGGGATTAATAATGATGTACCTGTATTGGGGTGAGGCATGCTAGTGCCAGGGAGGGGCCCTGGACCCTGGGGGTGAGGCACCTGTGGTGGTGGAGGAGGTTGGCTGGTGCTTGGGCTAAGGACTGCAGTGAAGAGATCCTCTACATCCTTACCTTCCAGCTCTGTAACAGAATATGACATCACAATGTTGTGTGTGTTAATATCAGGTTATTATCCATCAATATCCAATGCCAGAATCTTATGCTTCCATGTGCTACAGATAATTAGATGCAAAAAACTGTCATTTTAAATTACATTGGTAAATGGACATATAAGGGTGGTGACTAAAAATGTAAACAAAAAAAACATCAAGCCAAAATCTGGCAAGAATTTAAAGAAGAATGAAACAGCTTCAAAAAGGCAATATATCAATTCAATAATTGATTTTGGCAATTCAATAAATGATAAAGCAAAATCCTAAACCGTGGTCCAAGAGCTGTGCAACATTGCATAGAGTTTGCAGGCAAGTCAGATGAATCATTGTGGGACAAGACTGGATCCAAGTTAAGTTCTACAAAAAATTACAAACCTGGAATTTTGTAAAGTTTGCTGAGAATTGATTCTGAAACAAAGAAAGATACAGAAATGACCATTATTCCTCTTATGTTAAGTTTTAAAAAAACAGTGTTAAATGACTTTTTGGATGTCTGGGCTCCTTCACTGACCATCAGTGACCATCTTGTCTAGTTCTGGGCTGAGAATGCCGTCCAGGGGTTCCTCTGGGAGGGTGCGAGGTGTCCTCCGGCCAGCCTGAGACTGGGTCGCCACTGGGGAACTGTCTGTCAGGGGCCCGATGTCCAGACCAGCTGTGGAAACACACACGCACACAGACATACAAAAACTAATTATAGCACTCGTGCACACACACATTGGCAAATACACGCACGCACAAAGCATACCCAACAAAGAATGTGATCATAATATAGGTGAGGACATGTATGTTAACATTTCAACCAAAACTGAGCAGTATAGGATTACAGCTATTTGGGGTGCCTGAGTTGATTAAAAGGAGTGATTTTAGAAATGTGAGGAGACAGACAGGTCAAAATAATTCTCAGTGAAAATTGAATGTTTTGTAAAGGAAAATATTGCTCTAAATAAAGTAAAGTAAAATCCATTAATCTCTTTTGGAAAAAAGAGAACAAAATTTTTTAAAAGACAGATCCAGTTCATAGAGAGGCTGTTTAAATAATATCAAGTTTGCTGCATTAAACAGTATGACTACCAATGAAAACAACTGTTCCTATACTTTGTCTTTTCTATATGTTCTTCAACTCAAATCAACCAACTTCCGGATGGATGCAACCATTAGTTGGTAAAATTTATATTAGAATTAATTTTATCAGCCCATGGAGTGTTTAAACTGAACAAATTTGTTTTTACAAAAAAAAAATTAAAGGACACGAACGGTAGAACCCCTTTTTCATCCAGCTACAGGCCCATGAATAGAAGACCTTCACCATCTTGAAGAAGTGGAAGAACATTTACCAAGGCCTATGATTCTCTAATTTTCTTGGTTCTAAACTGCTCACTTCTTGAATAACAGAATGTCCTTGTCGGTTTGTTTCTTTGCTATCTTGAAGACATATTCAATTAGGCAGCTGTTAATATGTTCCCCTATTTATTAAAAAAAGTCACAACTGTGAAAGCGTTTAGGAGGCTCATGGACAAAGACAGACACATCTGAGTGCATACTGTGCACTTGGTTAGGTAAAGCACTAAGCAGTTTATGGGTGTTAAAACAATTTGAAATGGTCGAGAAAAGCCAAGTACGAAGCAGCTTGAACACATGCACACTCAAATAGAGAGACAAACACTGTAAGGGAGAAAGGATGCACTAAAGCGAGGGATTAGTAGGCCAGAGCACCCTTACCAAAAGGAGTAGGTGAGCTGTCAACCTGGAAGGAGCAAAAATCAAGACCTACAAGGACCCAAAACCAGATAAAATGGGTGAAAAAATAGTGAAGACAGAACAAGCACAACACGGTTCAGACAATGCAAACAAACAAAAAATGATAAAAACCAAAGATAAACTGAAAAGTATTATTAAAGAATGTGACATTTAAAAAAAATCAGTAAGTGGTGTCTGAGGAAATCTCTGAACCGGCAGGAAAAGAGTTTGTGTACCCATGACTAGGTGCCTATTAATAAATTCTTAGTGCCTGTGAGATATATGACGCACCAGAGTCATTGCTTGGCTTTCCGAGCATTCCCAAGATGTCTGCATCAGTGTTCAGAACATCAGATAGATCAACTAATGGTTCCTCAGACGTCTCTGTAGATGGGAAAAAGGAAGAAACAAAAAAGAAAGAAAACCAAACTGTCACTGAACAAAATCAAAATTGATGGTGATGTTGAATGGATTGGAGTGTTTGATTTGGAACCATTCCTTTTGATGCCATGCTTTGACTCCAGTCTAGATTACACAAAAGAAGAAACTGCACAGTATGTGACACTGAAGTAACCGAAATGTACTTCATTCAATTGATCTTTCCTAAACATTATTCAACTAATTACAGTGACTCCCAGAAAGTTTCTGAAAAAGATATGAACTGTAATATCTGGACAGCACTAGACTAAAACCTGTTGAAGATGCACAACAACAAACTATCTTGAACATCATAGATTCATTCAATGTTGCCGTTCTAGCCTTTGCTTTAGATAACTTTGGGTCATGTGGCCTCAAACTTTGAATCAATAAATACAATAAATGTCCCTATTGCCAAGAGCACAGCTTTTTATTTGTAAACCTAAAAAAAAACATTTTTCAGGGGAGTTTGAGAATTGAAAATTCTGGCCGCTTTCCATTTTCCTTTCCGTAAATTCAGATATTCTGCTTTGAGTGGGAGCACTGACTATTTAAACGCTTTCCCCATCTGTCATTATGAAGAAAAGCTCATAACCTAACCATATTAATTCAGTGTTTCACACTGCTTCGGTTTATCCTACAACAATTTAAAATGTCCATAAAAGAACTCAAAATCAAGTGTTGTCCAAAATGTGTCCCTACTACAACTACTTGAATGTGTGGTACATGGGTTTTCCCTAATAAAAGTTTCATATTAGACTGCACTTTTTGACATTCATGTTGTTTGAGTAATTTTTTTAACACGAAAAGAATTGAAGGGATAAATGTGATTAGGTTTGTTGGAAGGGTTTGGGTATTTTGGCAACTTGAAACAAAAATAGTACCTGCTATTGGACCCTGATTTGATATATACCACACTTTGTGATGCAATACCGTGAATGGGAGGCAATCTAAAAACAAGATATTCCCAGTTTACTATACTTTAGCCAGTTGCAGCATCAAACAATCGTGAAGCAAAAATCTAAACCATTGGTTTGCTGCACAACATCTGTGCTTGATTCAATACAGATGGCAGGTACACTATAGAATCCCATCATAATCACCTGCAGACCACTGTGAAGAGAGGTGTGGATGAAAGTAAGCATTGAGTTCAGCTTTATAAAAAGGTTAAAAAATAGAATCTTTTTACATTACAAAAACAGTTTCCATTTGGTTTCCATGACAGGTAATGTCAAATATGTGTTCACCATTTAGTATTGTTGTTCTGTTTCAGGCATGTGGCATTTTATTGTCCTGCCGCACAACCGCTTATTCAGGTCGGCACTAGGGACATGTGACAATTAATGTAAAATTGAGAGACATCTTGCAAGAGAAAGAGATGGAGTGAGTGGGCAGGCAAGATGGGGCCAGCTTACAAAGAAACTTCACTTTCTTCACAACTTATGAAATGAAACTGTGCGATTGTTTCAGCAGTGATTTTGAATAAAACTGTAGTTGCAGACTCTAATGAGTCAGACCACAGAACAACCTTTGACCTTTGTCTGAAGGGAGAAATGTGTCAGTGGTCTTTCATCACACCCATTTACTACTGTAAGAAAGAGGTAATTTTTCTCATTGGGCGATAACACTTACAGAGACGAGGAAGAAAAAGTAATAGAAAGAAGACACTGTTATGAACCAAAATAAAGATAAACATAAACAATGCTTTTGTGTCAGAGTTTTCACTACTAATATCGATTCCTTTCCACCACTGGTCTAATTCAAGCAATTCTCAGTTATTTGGTCATATTTAATATTTAGCCCAAGGCATGGATTTGAATCAAAATGAGTCATTACATGCCTTGTGATAATGTACCAAAGTAATGTGTATACGTACGTGTTGCTGTGGGTCTGGCAGGAAGGGATGTTGCTGATGCACTGTGCACAGTGTATGATGAAGGGTCCAGGAAGCCGGTGGCGGGGTGCTTCCTCTCCACATGGCTTTGCCCTTCTTCCAGTAAACCTGACTCGACCCCCTGCTGCCTGCTCTGCTTGCTTTTGTCCAGCAGGTCCTTTCCAAAGAATGCCTCCTGAACATGATGACACAAAGCGCTGGTCACTACTTCAGAAACTTCCACTATACAATTTCCGACAGTCACAGAAATCTTCACCATGTCACATAGAACTGACCAAACATAATCTGTTTTTAGACATGAACTGATGTTCACATGCAGCCCTTCTAGATAATGTCAGGAGAAGGTTCAGAGAAGGACCTAACACCAACTAACACTTGCATTCTCACAAACAGACCCTCTGGATAATTTTTTTTTCCAGAGAATTTCCTGTTCAGTGCAAGTCTGAAAGCTTCACCACACAAGTCATCTATCCTCCACAACATGTAACTGCAGCTCCCTGCTGCACCAAGACATTAAAAGCCCAACATGTTGCTATTTCAATAATTAATGAAATGTGCTTCATTGTGTCGGACCTTTAGAAAAGACTGAACCCCCCCTCCCCCCAATGCGTTGGGATAAAGAGCTGCACTGACAGCTGTCAGTGGTTTAATGCACATCACATATCTATGTTTTAGCCAACACAAGGTGACACTGAGACACTGGCTCGAGCCGAGGAGCCTTGTAGTCATCTCCGGTTAGGCTTTCATATGTCAATTCGCAACTCAGACAGGAGCCATTTAAAAAGCATGATCGGAGAGGAATATCCTCTTCTGTGACTTCCTTTAGGCAGTTCCTCTTTCAAAAAAGCCCACAGAAGGGGCACCGCGCACCCAAGTTCTCTAAGTGGTTTCCAGGCAATGTACTTTGAATTCCCCAACTTTCCCAAGGGTGAGATAAAACCCATTTTAGGAAGAAAGGGCATGACAAAACCCGACAATCTGTGCATGTGAATGCCAGGCTTGCCTAACGATAAAATCTGCTAAGATGTTTTTGTGATGAAGGCACCTTTTAGATCATGCAATTTTTAAAATGAAACCATTCGAAAAAATGTGGCATTTATGTTGAGAAAAAAAATAAAATGTATACACGGACATTCTTTTGTACCATCCACCACGGTGTTTATAAAAATTGTTAATAAATCCAAAGTGACAGACCTGCAGATAGGTGGGAAAGGCTTCCTCCAGTTTGGTTTTCTTCTTTCTGTAACGTTTCTTTATTTTTTCTTGGACCTCCGGTCCAGGGGGGATCTCTTCCACAGGAGTGTCAGGCATTGCTTCTGTCCAACCTGAAATACAAAATTATCAGAATAAGCTCCTCTGCTTGTGCGATATACATCTAAACTGTAATTCAGAAAATAAGACAGACAAAAATGTCTATAATGACTGATGTGCAGATACATTATTGGTGTACAAACCCTCGTCCTTTCCAACAGGATTCTCTGACACTGAGCCAGAGGAATCTTTTCTGCAGAGGGAGCGTTTGGCCTTGCCTGGACCTTGGCCTGGACGGCTCCTTTGGCGGACCATGAAACCACCAATGCCTTTTGAGAAGAAATTAAAATTTTTAATATCAATAAATTCTAATATCACAGAGGTGACATGATTTTAAATATATTAAGTTTTGACTGGTTCTATTAGTTGTCCATTGCATTCAGCATGAAAGCTTAGAAACACTAGGTAGAGCCCTCTGTACATCAGAGGCCCAAAGCAAGATGGCAGTGCTTTGCCGGAGCCACGTCGGGCATGCACTGCACCATTTTACGCTTCAGAGGAGCTGTCTCCTTTAATCAGGTGCCCTACCCGGCCGGTACGGTTTCCTCTTCCTCTTCTTGCCGCCGTCGCCCCCCTTGGAGTCATCTTCTGCTGGCTCTCGCTCGGGGCTCGAGTCAGACTTCCCCTCGCAATCTATGAGCTCCGCCTCTGTAAGAGGGAGAGAGCACTGATGATGAGTGACAGCCCTGCAGCAGAGAACACCCTGGCCAGGCCCCTCAACACAGCACCAGGGTCAGTTCTATCTGAACTCCACTCAGTGGCAGGACATTAGACTGATTGAAATTAAGTTGACCAGTTCCATTAAAAAGGACCTTCTATTCCAGAGGGTTTTTCCTGCTCATTACTTTTTTAAATGAAAAGATATGTTTAAATCTTACCTAACTTTGAGAAAGAATTTTAAATGACGTAAATAACGAGTACGCAAGTTCTGTTATTACTAATTAGTAGCATTCCAGAAAAAACTGTCCGCATGTTACAATAACTGTTTCAGGCATTCTGAGGATTATAGTCTATGAAACCGTTTATTAGACTGCATTGCTTTTATTTAGGTTGACCTTTCAAACTGCAAAAAATATATATACTTTCTCATTAAAAGAAATGTGTGATGCAGACTAAAGCAAATTGTTGATATGCAGCAACTCTTTAACATTGAAAAATATAAAAATGGAAAAAAGAAAAGAAAAAAATCCAGCCAAAATGTTTTAAAAAGCCTGTATTAATCTTCAATGTCAGCACTATACTGAAGGTCTCTGATAAATAGTCTTGAGATGAAAGAAGCAGCTTGTGAGAGGAGACAAGTACCTCTGTTGTCCTCCATGTCTTCATCACGAGAATGTTCTGAGAGGGGATCTACAGGAGCTTGAAGCACTGCAACACTGTTTTGGTTTATGATTTTTAGCTTCAGCTTCGGCTTGGGTTTCCTGCGCCGTGAAGCTGTGGCAGACAAGCTCTGCAGCTGACACAGCCCCGACTCTGTCAGGCAAACGCCGTCCTGGGTGTAGGTCCTTGACAGATCTGAAAAGACCCGAAAAGCTACAATGAGTATTCACTTTATGAATTCAAGCAAAAAAAAAAAAACAAGATTCTGTTTTTACTTATAATCGGTCATTTTTAAAGCTGCGAACATACCAATTTCTTTTGCCTTTGTGACAATCTGCGTCATCACTACAGGCTCAATGGCATCTCTGGCCTTGGTCACAACTGCAGCAGCGCAGGGCACATAGAAGCCATTTAACAACAGACAGCAGAAAAAGGAGGATTAAATGTCATGGCTGAGGTTATTCACCCTACTGCAGACAAATACTACCAAAGCATTGTGTAAAAAACACATTTAGAAGAATCACTCCCACCTTTAGTGGTCTTAAAAGTTCGGCACATTGTGCAGTCAAAGCTGCTGTCTGCAGCTTTTTCCACATCGTCCTCTGAATGGAGACCCTGACAAGAGGCGTGAAACCATCTATGGGTTGAGAGAAAAGAGGAAGTTTAGATAAAAGCAAATTACGTTAAAATAATCCATCAAGTTTAGCCATTTTGAACCGACAGGTTTTGTGGAAACGCTGCCCACCTGTCACATTGGCGGCACTGCACGATGACAGTGCCTTCATTGTAGTCCACTAGGCAAATGGGACATGTTAGAAGGCTGGCACAGGGGGCACACCGAGTGTAATTATTCTGCCAGTCACACCTTAGGCCCGGTGTTGTGGCACCACACTGGGTACAGGACACACACCTGCAGGAGACACAAAGGACAGAGGTCATTCTATACAAGTTTTTTAGAGGATAAGAAAGATTAACTGAGCAGCAAAAATCCTGGCTGCTCACTTCACTGTCAACATGCTTCAAAGATGGAATTATTTCCCGTTCATTTGTGATTTTAAATTCACTTAATCCCCTCTACATAAAACAGTTAAGACATGAACTTGAACTGCTTTTATAGAGTTGGCAATATTTTCTCTCATTGCAAATTGAGATGGGTAAGACTTTGTACTATTCTTATTCTTATAAAGAGCAATATTTCTTCATTTGGAAGAAGAGGACTGTCACATAACATTACACAAAGTTAAATAACATGCAACTGTTTCAATCTTTTTGTGAATTTACCACAAATTTAATTCGAAATTAATTTGGTTGAGATTATGACCAAGTTCACCATTTGCACTTCCAGCTCTCCTTGGGTACGTTCTGCAGTGGAGGGTCCAGGCAATAGGTGTGATAGCTGATGTCACAGTCATCACATAGCAACAAGCGGCCAGGATCTGTGGCCTGACCACAGGCCTCGCACACTGTGCACTCCAGACAACGCCAGCCTTTACTCAGCACCACCTTATTGATCTGTAAGAGTAACAATGAGACAGTTTTATGTCAGTCTGTGTTTGATAGGATGATATTTATATTATGTTCTCTAGCATACTCAATGCGTGGAGTACAAAAGAGGGATTGTACCTTTATGCCGACACAGAATGGATGGTAGCACTGGCCACACTGAGCACAGGCAAGAAGACGGCCTTCTGCACCAAGGCCAAAACTCCCACACACCACACACATATCCTAAAATTAAGAAAAAAGATTAGTTTTCATCTCACTGAGGCAGTGAATCCCCTCATATTCTGACTTTTCAGTTAAAAATATTATTTTCGTAATGTGCTTAAAACATTTAATAATTTGTTGCATATGCGTTACCAATGGCATTATAATGTAAAGGTCAGTGTCTATGTTGCTGCTACCCTGAACACTAAGGACAGGAAACTGCTTACTTTAATGTAGACATGCTTGAAGTCATCCTTTACTCTCAAATTTCAATGTAAATAAAGCACCATGAAATGCAAACTAATAGGACCACAGAATTCCTATGGAAACATTGGCCTTTTAAGATGTTTTTTTTCCAACAAGGATAAGTGAAAAAGCACCTTCAGGGCTGAATCACGCTCACATTTGCAGAGAACAGCCCTTTGAACACCAAGTGGTTTCAAGTGAGCCATTCACCTACACGCGTTGACAAGCAGCACCTCAGCTTTATTGATTACCTGCCTAGTTACTTTATATTAACCGTAATAACTACTAACTTTGTTTAACTTAACTTAATTTCTATCTCTAAAACTTGTGTTTTAGTTCAGGATCAATATACTGAATTTTGAAAGAATTAAGAAACAATAAATTGTATTTCCTGTAGTTGGAAAGGTCTTTAAACACAGATTTAATTTCAGGAGACATATTTAAAATTAAATATATCAACAGCAAACTCATAGGAATTAAAGAAAGAAAGAAAAAAACAAGCAAATACCTGTTTCAGTGTGAAACTGTCATTGCTGGAGAATATGACCACTGTGTTATGCATGGCATTCTCTTCCTCCTCTTTCATTGGGTATGGTGTTTCTATTGTGGTGATCTGCATAACAGAACAAAACAGACAAACTTAATAGTGTGATGGAATAAGCAGTATGATTTAAAATGACTTATCAAGCCAAACATGCTATGAAATATTACTAAATATTATTCACAACTGCTGAGTCATGTTTTGGAGATATTGATGAACCAGCCCCCAGGAAAAGTGCAACCTTCAAAATAAAATGCAACTAGTAGTTTTCTCTTTCATTAACATTAATTAATACATTGTGCATTATCCATGTCATTAGCTGGAGGGAAAGCAAACACTGATTTGAATACAGTTTGATATTTGCTAAAGACGTCAAGATGCCATCCAGCTAAAAGCACATACCCCGGGATTGATGCTGGGACTCACTCCATTCTTGCCTCTGGCCCTGCCGCGTCCAGGTCTACCTGATAGACCAGCCCCTCTGGGCCTCCTCCTCCCTGGGAAGCCCGAACCTCGACCCTGTAAGGAAGAAAACGCATTTGATTAGACAGTGACCAATCCTCATCTAACAAACTAAAACGAGGAGATGCAAGCTTTGGTTGTTTATAAAAGTTTGTTTGCACTTGCACTCTTAAATCGTTCAAGGCAGAGTTTGTTTAGTGGACTTGAAAGATTTGTTCACCACTCCCTGTTCAGTTTTAGAAACGTACTATCATTTTGTGGGGATGTTTGCACAGGGCTGCAGACTAACGTTTTCATTTAGGTGCACCAGCACATAATTTAAGTGCACCCAAAATGTTTCACTGCATCTTTCTGCACCACAATAATGCACCTATTATACCTTTTCTTGTCAGTTCCCATATATATTGGTAATTTCTTAACTATGGCTGGTTATCGCTGCTGATTTCCAAAATCAGCAGGAGTGAGGTAACCCAGACAGGAGACTCTGGCATGGTATAAACCAACCGCTGCTTCTGCTCTGATCCTGAAGCAACGGCACTAATCGAATTACAGTGTTGGTCAATAGTGGAAACCCTGTATTCACACTTTTTGTCACCACTGTTCGACATTTATTGCCTTATTCACAGCCTCTTCTGTCTCCTGTGTGTGTCAGTGTAAACTTTGCAGAGGTGATGTGACGAGGAAGTGACACGACTCACTAAAACACAGAGACTGAATGTAAGGCACACTGGTGCGGTATAGTTCATTAAATTACTCTTATTTGAGATATACATTGCAATTTCTGCCAGATGGCTGGCAAGAGTTGAGAAGAAGCCTCTGGGCAGTTGTTCGAGCTTAGCAAGTTCCACTGTGGCTATGGCAAATTTCTGACAGGAGGTGTTTGCCTAATCATGACTGTGAAACTAAAGTCTAACTGAACCTTCAGCACCTGCCCAAAGATCACTTCCTCTTTTACCCCAAATCTGGCCCTGATCCTAACCTGAGGCCAGACCACGTATTGCACCTCCCCACAGACTCTGTATGATGCTGTTTGGCCGGGGCTTGACCCCTGCAAACAGCATACAAATTAACCCTCACCCAGTTACCATGGCAACTAACTTCTTAAGACTTTTTGCTATGTCAATATCAAGTATGAAGAAAAAAAATCAAATACTTGTTTAAGTAAAACAGACACAAAAGCGCACAGCAGAGCATGGTTGAAAGGAGAACGGGTCACATACATTATTTACAATTACTGCCCTACGGTTGTATACCTTCGCCAACCAGTGCGGTTGCAGTCCCTCCAGGTGTTCTTGACAACTTGCATTTACCATAACATGAGGTCACCATGACTTTTAACCAATGAAATCCAAACAGCTAATCTTTGAATCTAAGTTTGAAGAAACTCCCCAAAAGCAATGTCCAAGAGGCAAAAAATGTGTTTTGTGAGGCCACCGTGATCTTTGACCACCCAAATGAAATCACTTAATCTGTGAGTCTAAGTAAACATTTGTACTAAATTTGAAAGGTTTCCCAAAAGGGTCTTGTGAGGTCACAGTGATCTTTGACGACCAAATTCTAATTTGGTCATCCTTAAGTCCAACTCAACGTTTGAACCAAATTTGATGAATTCCCCCAAGGTGTTCTTGAGGCATCGCGTTCACAAGGAGAGGTACAGCCAGACGGGCCAGGGTACAGATGGACACATGTGAAACATAATGTCTCTGGCGACTGGCTATCACCAACCTGGGAAATACCCAAACGTTGTTGTGGATTATGGAATATCTTACCAAGTTTCCTTGATCTCTAAATTAACCTGCAAAGCCAGCACAACCCATCATCATCAAAGCCACATCTTTAAGTTCCACTTAATAAAGTTAGTAGCTCAACCACTCTCCTTTCACTGTAAGGTGTTGGTAATTGTTAGTGCAGACTACAACACAGATCACAGTGACATTCAGGAACACTCAGGGAGTGTGTGTGTCACTAGGGTAAACAGAGGGCTAACAGAGGGCAGCGGCTGCCCTGCCATCTCTGGTGAGCCACAGTATTTACCACTCTGATGCTCCAGCCGGGGCTGCCAGAGGAATGCCTGGTCTTTAGGACGTCCCACCCCTCTGGCTGGTCTGGCGACCAGGACAAGGGGGAGCTCACACTGCTATGGGGACTCCATGCACCCTAAGGTAAGGGGGGGTGAGAGAGTGAGAGAGAGGGAGGGAGGAGGGCGACAAAATGCAGCAACTTAAAAATAAAGCCAGCGAAAAACAAAACATACAAAGAAAGATGTTAAGAGAGATGTAGTGAGCTTCTAATGGAGCTATTTGGGAACAATTCAATACACATCCATCTATGGAGCGCTACGGTATGAGAGAGCATCATATATGTCTAACTATGAATAGTTAAAGTTATTAGGTCACATTCGATGTTAAAGCCAATCATTACAATTTCATGCAAATTAGTTAGACAGGCACGTTTCTAATAGACTCTCTGTAAAGGCAAAATTACAGAGCACAGTTGTGTTAGTTGCATTTCACATGGCAGAATCTGCCAGGGCATCATGGCACCCTACAGCAGAAAAAGAGGCCCCGTCACCTCTCGCCACGAAAACAGTGTATGTCTGGCATGTTGACAAAACAAGGGGAATTGCATCAGCACAGCAGCACATAAACCCATAAGTCAAAAGCATACTGGACTAAAGAGGAGCAACATTCAAATCTTGTGGACTAGATATCCTAGGGCCTTGTGTAACAAATTAGTTAGAGACATATAATGTTTATTTAAGTGATGGGATAAAAAATACATTTTGCGTACTAAATTAGTCTACCCTCACCAGCATCATTCATAATATATTATAGCCATGGGTGTGATTCACTTCCCCTTATTATTTGTCTGAGAGAGTCTGCAATCGTTGCAAGTGAGAGTCTTATAATAATTCATTTGTTTTACTGATGCTGGAGTTATTTTCACACCACTGCAGTTGAAACGTGGAAATGACTGGGATATGGTCATGATAATGGTCACTTTAATTTGTGACTTGATGAAAGTCCATGCATAATGGGACAATTAAAAGGCACATATTTGTAACATGGATATGAGATGAACATACTGATGGCAATACCACTGAAGTGAAATATGGTGAGGACTGTCAGTAAAATGTGTTTTAGCCATAAAAAGATAACAATTCCAAAGGGAATTAATTAATACCTCAGCTGAATACAGTATGAACCCTGTGACTAACAAATAATGTGGTGCACAAACAACTGAAGACAGCACAGGGAGCTGGGAGGGAGCACCAGTCGCCATGCTGTTCTCCTGCTGTGCTTGGAAAGAGTACTGCAAAGTGCACCTAGACTGAAAAATAAAAACTGAAAAACATCCTAAAAACCGTACAAGCTGTTTCAACCACAGAGAGAAAAACAACAAAAAAATCCACGTTCGTAGCATGGCCCATAGGACATCATTAAAAGGAATTTGCACAAATTATTGGCCTACACGCTATTATCCTCGCTATAATATTTGGGCAGGGACAGTTAAAAAGGATGAGTGATTCTTTTTGATGTGATGTCCTGGTTCCTACCTGTTTAACTCTTGGCCTCCCAGGAGAAAACTTCCTCTTGGTGATAGCTGGCTTTCCCATTCCAATCTTTGGGGTGAGTGGTATGAGTGTGGTGGTGGACATCACGCTGCCGTGGTCACCCAGCGAAGGTAGGATCGGGTCCTGCTGTGGTTCTCTGGGAGAAATCCCGCGAAGCAGAGGGGAGGAGTGGGAGGGAGAGGAAACCATTTCAGCCAACCTCTCCACAGATGTCTTGAGAGGTTTCTCCTCTGAAGACATGCTGGGAAATGAGAGATCAGGCTTGCTTTCTGGTGTGGTGTCCATCTCCTCTGATGTACTAGAGGCTGAGGGCGTAACAGTTTCTGCCAGGTTTCTGTGAAAAATACCCTCCCTCGTCTCCTTATTAATGTCTTTTGGAGCGATTTCCAGAAAAGAAGTCCTGACAACATCCATACTTGAAGGCTGGGGTAGAGAGACTTCCACTGGTTGGTCCGTGAAAGGTACTGATGCAGTACTTGGTTCTTTGGTGGCTGAGATGATGGCCTTAAAATCCTTTGTGCTGGGGTTGGCCATGTCCTGTTCAGGACAGGCCTCTGTCTTTGCTGGTTTGATTTGTAACGTGGTATCCTGTGTTTGTAGTGCCTCCTGAGAGAGCTGGGTGGGAAAAGACTCCGACTCCTGGCAGGGAGAAGATGAAGATGCAGGACTCTCTGGAGATGTGAGCTGGGTTCTTGCTGCTGGTTTTGTTTCTGTTTGAGGAGATACAGAGTAGTCAGAAAAACATGTTAAGTTCAAATTCTACATCATTAAAGGACAAAAGAGAAAACATGGGTAGATGTGCGAACCAATATAATGTTTAAGAGATTTCAAATGATCTAGCATCACTATAGAAAGTGAATGTAATTGACTCCATGTCAATGTCCTTGTTAAACAGTATCCATCAACAGTTCACAGAGCAGTTAAGCAGTGTGAATAAACTGTGAGAATTACATATAATATTAGTTTTACAACAGCAATAATTTACATTAATGCAAATCAATGTGGGTGTTGACAATTCAGATTAAGTACTAAATAAAAAAGCTGTGTGTACAAACCTGGTTTGAATTCTGTGAGGATTTTGTTGACAGAGGGTTCAGTAACCTGCTTTTCAGCTTCTGCTTCCGCTGAGACTTCTAAAGGAAAGAAGATTAATTTAAAAAGAGATAATATATTAAAAACAGAATGTTTGTATGTAAAGAATCTGGAGAAATTGTGAACACATGGTAAGGTAACGTAATCACAAATGGGATGGAATTAATGATTTACTGGCTGATGTTTTCCAAATGTTGTGTTGATTAGACCAAAAAAATCAAATGTCTTAATTTGCAGGAAACCTGCTAATTTGTCAAACCCTTTCCCCATTTCTGCTTGAAAATGAAAACACGATTAATCATAAAGTATTAGTAGTTTACTAGATTATTTGTCTTTTTATTCACTAATTGATTTATAGACTAGTCATTTCATTTCAGTTCAGCCCATTGGTTCCATAAAGGTAAAAAGAGACAAGTTCTGATTTACATTTTAAGTAATGGAAATAATGTGAGCATATTCTCCTTCTAGTTAAAACCACAAAGCATTTTCTGCAAAAAGGCTGAAACATCAAACAATTTGTTGCAGAACAACATTATATTCAGAGCCAATAAATTGACACAAGCATTTTATATATATATATGTAGACTATATTAGTGCCAGGAGAAATATCCCTTTATATCTCCTCCCACGAAATCTTGTATGGGGATGTAACATTAATTTTGATGTACTGACTTAATGAGCTATTGCATGAGCCTTGAAACTGAAGTGACAGAAGTGTTACTAGAGGGGGTGGCTTTCGAGTTACAAGCAGTCACAATGCTGAATAAAAAAAACGAGACAAGCTTGTATCAGGCAACATTTGATATTAATCTAATGACGCCCACCCTCTCTCTCTCTCTTTCCCTTTGTTTTTGTAGTGTCTCCTATCCTCTCTCTCTCCATTTGGTTTTGTATCAAAAGGCATCACTGCATTTGACTAGTCTGGTATGAATAGAAGTAGTCATTCCTGGCTATCAGGCCCCCACACTTCGAGCCAATATTCTGCCAGACTGCCTCTGACAGTACAGATAGCCTAGTATTAACGAGGCACCCTCCATTTCAATCCACAAGTTCCCATGTCACAGTGATCCTGACACACACATGCACCTGCTATGCATCTCTGCCAGGGAAGGGAGTAACCATGACAACCAACATCCCAGGGTCTGTGTGCTCGAAGCTCATGACTGTGCAGCTTGCAGGTGCTCATCCGGTGCCGATGCCAGAAAGTCAATTAGGAGATGGGCTTCCAACTATGTCCTGCCTTCAACTATTGACCAAGCTGAACACACGTTCTCATTCATATTAACACCCCGCTTCCTATACATGTATCTCCTACAGTGAATACAGTGATGGTTTAGATAAATACTCGTTTTTGATTTATACAGCAGAGGTCTTAAGTCAAGTCTAAGCCTGCGCTATATGAGGAAAGGTTAATTGTGCATATATTTCCTGTTTCTTCACAGTCATTATCAAATTGACACTAATTTATCTGAGGGCTGATGATGGCTAACTGAGGTTTAATCTGATTGGTCTATTGGTGTAAATGCATGGCCCATGGATCCAGCGTTGAGGTTGCAGCGGTGAGGCAGCAGTGGTTCTGTGAGGGTGTTAACATAGGTTCTATTAACCATCTTATCAAACAGTACACCTTATCCAGATATGTATTTATTATTATTAGTAGGGAGAGGGTTAGAATAAATTGCTGCGTCACGCTCTAGCTATAAGTTTACAAAACATATCAAGCTAGCAGCTTACAAAAATCTTCAGTTAAGCTTGTTCACTGTAAGATTAATGGTGTAGCTGTGGATGGAAGTAGTTGGAATTCTTGCTTATCTATGTGTTTAAAGCTTGTGGAAGAGGTTATGTGATAATTATGGCCTTTTTTATGCTCTGCTTCAAGTTTAGTTCAAATGTGGATGCGTGTTGTGTGTAAATATATATATTTTTTCTAATGAGTTTCAAGCTGTAGTCTAAGGCTACAACCCACAGAAACTTATTTTGCAAAGCTCCTCTTAAAATCAATACACTGAGGACATGTACACTCTCCTAACAAACAAAACAACATTCCCCCTACAAGTTACATCAGATGATGAGGCGGTTAATGGCCACAAGACAGAGCTAGTAAAATGAGAACACATGTGTATTGTGAGTGGAGCAGGCAAGCTGTGTGAGCAGTCATGAATGAGCCAGTGTAGCTCCAAGGCAGGTTTGCAGACAGGAGATCTGATATCATCACCATCATGCTACTCCAACCTATTTTCTCCTGCCACTGGAGTCTGCTGGCTAGACGAGAGTGGGCAGCCAAGCTTCCACTGGCATCCCTAGCTCACTTTTTATTTCCCTGATACTTCATTCCGCTGCTGGCAGACTTCACATGAACCAGAGTGGAGGTGCAGCCCTGAACTCCAGACAAGCAAGTAGCAGCATCATGTGACTCAATGTGCTGGTAAGGCTTGCAACACGCAGAAACCCAGTGACAGGCAGAAACAGAACTAGATCTGGTGAAGGATGAGTTTACCATGGGGATGGTGTTTCTGCCATATTGCACAGATTTTGACTCAAATTGTTGGGTCTAAGACTAAGTGCGCCAGCAAGCCAAATAGCTGGATAGGTGCATCCTTGCCAAATACTCTCAATCTAGAAATGCTCATACGACAAAAAAAAGAAAAGAAATGACATTCTCAGATTTTACAATCGAGACAATTCTGATTTGAAAACTCCCCAGTTACTTCTAGAAACTTCACTGAAGGCGAGGTTACTTTTAACAACATGTTTCTAGTGTTCAGCCCAGGGTGTTGTCACTGAATCAAAACGGACTGAATCCACTTCAGTCTGAATCTTGCTTTACGCCACTTGTTATGTCTTGATTTACTAAAACACATGTTAAAGGTACACAGCTCTGCAAGATGATTATGATTTTTTTTTTTAAACAGAGCCTTCTCTCCTTAATATCTTATCGTGTCTTATTATGTTTTATTTGTCTGGCCTAATCTCAGAGTCCTCAAATGTTATGTTGAATTAGCGTAGTATGAGCAGCCGACTCGAGTGCCCATTTCTGACCTCAAGATGAACTGTTAAGATTCAATTCAAAACTCAATCATCACATACTACCTTCCCCTGGAGAAAGGAGGGACTAACAAATTACTTTCAGTTTTCAATACACAGAACTACAAAGACAATAGAGTCGCTTTAATCTGTCGCTCGTTGAACACCATCTGCTTATTGGGGAGTCCTCCGAAAAAGGCTTCAAAAAAAAAAAAAAAAAAACGTTCCTCTGGCCCTCCTCCAAACAACTCTCTTCATAATCCTTTCATCAGCAACAACTGCGACTTTCAGAACTTCATCAAAGCCGACACTTCAGCCCAGTTTAGTCTTGTGTAGCCAAAACTTTAAACTGCTTCTGAATGCCTAGAGGCTGAGTCAATGAACCCTCAGCTACAAAGATTGTCTTTCATTTTCAGTCATATCACCTGGTGTTTCTGTGGTTGGTTTCGTATGTATTGAGAAAATTTGATTGCTTGAAATAACGAGACAGATTAAAATGCTGATGAAATGTTTTTGAGCACCAGGTGGGATAAAGAAAAACAAACAAGTCAAGGAAAAATGACAGCAGTTATTTTCCTGTGTATAATCTAACCCTCTTTTGGAACAAAGACCTACCAGGCTTCTGGGCTGACGTAGCCTGCTTCTCCTCCTGGACAGTAGCCTGAGCAGGCTCTGGATCTGAGTGCAATGGAACAGCAAGTAATTCCGGTTTGGGGTCATTGTGCATTTCAGGAGGCTGCTGAGTGCCAGGTTCTAGGTCCGTGTGCTTTTGAGACAGTTGTAGGCTAGTCTCAGAGTCTGTGTGCATGGAGGCAGGCTGGGGACTGAGCTCTGGGCCGGTATCCATATCCTCTGCCTGTAGCGCCTGCTCTGCAGCAGGGGACCTGCAGTTGGAACAGACATAGTCCTCTCTTGGGTGGATATCTGCTTGGCCTGAGTTCTGACGCTCACACTCTAGGTGTAGCCATCTGAAAGAAGTGCAGAGGAATATAACGGATTGTTTGACAGAGATCACTGTACAATCCTGTAATGTCATATTTATTGTTGTGGCTTTCCTAGTGTTGTCCTTAGAGTTACCAGGGAACAGCATAGAAAAATAAACAAATGTTTGTTACCTTTTACAAGTGTGGCAGAACAGTAAGTCTTTGTGATGCTCAGGGTCCAGGATGCAGGTACACGTCGGACAGCACAAAGCAGGGTCCTGGTTTTGGACGCAGTTCTCACACAGCAGGCTGGTGTGGTGCCATTGCCCGCTGGTACGTGTTCCACATTGGATGCAAACTCTGCAGTTCTGAGGAGCAAAGTCAGTCTTCTCAGTACCATGACATTCAAAGTTATCAGATCCAATGCGATATGAACAACAGTGTTTCTGCCATACAGATTTGGCAATTTAGAAACCAAATGGGAAATAAGCATGAAACTGGTCCAGGCCAACAGCGAGTGTGTGCAAATATTTCAGACCATGACTCAATCCAACTAAATTTGAGTCCGAGCAGAGTAGTAACTCTAAAGCAGAATTCTGCCAATCTAAGTTGCAGAAAATATGGTTGCCATCTCCCCTTCTGTTCATGACATATGGTATTAAATAATGAACAGAAAAGTTTTTTCCAAATATTAACATCAAAGTAAATTTTATTTTTAACCTTGTGGATAACAAGTCACCACTTTATCATTTTATCCTGTTTACATTTATGTGCAATTTTGTCATAATTGACATAATAATTCTTTATAACCTTTATTTCTCTTCCACGTCTTCAACATTTTTGGCGCATTTCATTTTCTACCACACTAACAGTGAGCGGCAGCAATCAAAATTTGGCTTTCATCTCAGCAGCATCACTGTTACTTGCAATAACAAATTTACACTTGATCTTCAGTACTTTGCTCAATAAAAAGAGGCTGTTCATTGCTCAAATAAAAAAAAAGTTTCATTCATACCTTTTCAGCTATAAACTGTTTTATCCTTTTTGTATTCTTAAAGTACGGCTACTTTTGAAAAAACATACTCTAAGCAGCTGGAAATCATGCAGGATATAATGAAAACTATGTTATATGTTTACAATTTTTTTGTAAATACTGTATGAGTTTGACATCTCAAATCTCAAATATTCCTTTAATTCCACTGGAAATAAACCTTGTCAATGAAAAGTGTTCCAGCACCATGTATTTCCTTGCAGCAATATATAAACTTAGCTTCTTCTTTTTTTCAGACTGCTATTCTGGAGCTCATACATGACTGTGCAATGACAGCGTAGTGAAACTGGAAAAATGACTAATTTTTCTCTGATCTCCATTTCAGTAAGTTCTCAGAACAAAAACACCACACCGACTCTAAGTGGGGACAGAGGTTGGTAGCGGCTGCTCAGGAAGACGCAAGTACCATGTCTGTATGTGGGACCGTGGGTTGTGTTTCTCCTGTGCTGAGTCAGATATAGAAGCAAAGTGTGGAGACCTTTCATCACCTGCTTCCTCTATTTGCTGTGGCTTCCTGTGACCACTGCAGAAAATTGGGTGGTGGGTTAACCAGCTGCCTAAGTGACAAGCTCGCCATTTACGCTGCTGGAGGGTGAAGGGTGGGGCTGCGCGGAGGGATGTGGGTGATTAATGTGCACACGCATGTACACATGCATACGAACTATGTTATCTTAGGGCACTGAGGCTAAACCGAGGCCTTTAAAGATCAGGCTGTATGAATCACTTCTTGACCACAGGAAGCGTATATATAAACCAACAACTCATATTTATATGGATGGCAAACATACATGTATTACTCATTCAGAGCAAAGATTCATATCTTGAATACTTTAACTTAATTTCATTGTTTATAATTCTCTAACCTATTCTCATGTTTCAAGAACTGCAAATGGAAATTAGCTCGTAGCTAAATTTGGTACAAAGCATTTTACTTTTTGTTCAAGATTAGTGTATATGTATCTAATCATTTGTACATTACCCCAAACATCTTCAGCACTATGTTACAGTTACTGATAGACCAATATCCTATATTTCTAAATTTCTAAATACCAACCAGAGCAACCCTTTTCAATTCAGCATCAGCATGAGGTCTGTCCTACCTTACACCTCCATCCATTGGTGGGAAGAGAGTCCATGGCAGGTTGCAGACAGAAGGTATGGTAGCCTTTGTCACACATGTCACACACCAGCATTTTAGTGTCCTCTCCTGGGTTGCTGCAAAGAGAGAGAGAGAAGGTTGTATTTAAAGAGCCAGCGAAGGACTTAAAGGCACAAAGATATGCAGGATTTAATTTACAATGGTCATAGTTGTGTTGTTTCTCAATTTAGAATTGTCATCGTTGGGTTTCCTTAACATTTTTTCAGTGTATACTCTTTCCTTTGATTTTCCAACCCAGGCTTAAGAACACTGTATATTCTATGAGACGTTATATTGAATAGATCTGTTGTGAAGGCGAGGACATGTAACATGTTTGCTCTGGGGACATCACAGAGGCTCATTTAATTAGTTACGTTCTGTTTATTTGTCACTAATTGTGACAATAATTTTATACATAATGCCTATTCCTAATTACAGAGAAAAGTTGTTATTTAGTAACCTGAGGCTCAGAAGCATTAGTGGGATTTACCTCTAAACCGTGAATGAGTCTATTCTTCAGTTCTGCTGTTTTATGTATGCACCAGTTGAACGTTTTTGTTGGTAAACACAGCTTGTTAGCAGAGTTAATAATGGGTTAATGTCACTTTAATTGTTCTTTATAAGAAAGGGGGGATGGGAAATTGTGGTGCCATGCTTTTAACACAAACAAAGTAATGCTTGCTCCTGCAGAAATGTTAGTATGATAAAATATTAGCCTTGCTGTCATACAGAAGCTCAGGGCATGTAGCTGTGCGTCATGCTGTGTGGGGGTGCTGCTTCTCTAATTGCAGAGTTGGGAATGAGTAATGCTGAGGAATTGGAGGAAATAAAAAGAGAACTTGACGGTAAACACACAAATGGCATTTTCCTGGCCAACACTGGCTGTATCATATTTACCTTTTTCAGATTATTTTTTCACTGCCTATTAATACAGATAATAATTAATATTGGTTTAACCACAATATAAGTTATGTTATGCACAGACAAATATAAAATAATTATGTTATTTATATAATGTTGTTCAGTAATTAGTGTGTTTGAATGAATCTGACAATTTGGAGACAGTCTCTCAATTTCCATCCCATCCATTATAATTTGAGACAATATATAATGAACCACAACTCAATCTTATAAAACACCATCTAGTAATAACATGATGAAACAACAATTACTAGAGTTTCTATGTAAATATGAAACTGAGAGCTCAATAGACAGTCTACCTGAAACAAATTTAAACAAGTTCAGAGGTTATAAGAATGAGCTTCAGGTTGCAACATGAAGTTAGTTCTTCACAAACCTCAGACATTCACAATCTAACAGTGGTAACCATGCCTAGTAGCTATTGAGAAAATTAGTGGAGAGAAAAGAAAGATAGAGAAGGACAAAAATGTTCAGTGCAGGAGGTAATACCGAGTGATGGAGGGTGACTTACTTGCAGGTCTGGCAGATCTTGCACTCGGGACACTGCCAACCTGCCCTCCTTAGAGGGGTCACAGCCATGTCCAGGCACATTCCATGGTAATGCTGACCACAACTGGTGCAGAAGAGCTGGTCCAGTAAGTCCCCTGGACTATCGCAAAGTGCACAATTTACATCATCTACAACTATGGGGAAGAAAATTTAAGAAACACCTTTGAGTCAGGAAAATAAGGGAGGCAAACTTGATAGAGACAGAACAGTTGAGAAAATTACACAAATTAAAATCTCCAAGATACATTAAGCATAATTTTTGAACACAATTTACCCAACTTACATTTGTCAAGGGCCAATTCAATGTGTTCTGGGCAGAGGAGAGAGAGACTCCCGATATCCTGAAATGTCCCAGCTGCCCCTGCACAGGGGTAATGGTAAAGTTGAGCACATCCTTCAGCACAGCACTTAATGGATGCTCCAAGGCGCTTACAGTATGCACAGTGCTGCAGGAACAGAGAAATCACAAAATAAGTCAAACATGTCTGCTCTCAATTCAGATAAATATTTTCCTAATACACCCAAGGATGCCTTGATTGACCCAATCAGGAGTCAATCCAAGTATACCGCGTAGGAAATACACTGAGTTCAAACACTTTGCCGCAGAAGAATAGCGGTCATTGTTCCTTCAGTCTCAGCACAGAGAGGCAGAAATTTGTTAACAGCAACTATGTGCACACAAAGTTTATTAAGCTGCACAGACCTATGATTCTGTTTTAGAGTTATTGTGGAAATGAGTGCATGTGCACAGCTTTCCTTTTGACTCCCACAATTGTGCATACATAGATGTAGATGCTGTCATGTGACTGTTAGGCACAGTTATGGCTATTAAGAGTGCCTGTACCATTAATTCATCACATGCACCTCATTGCAGTTATATCTCAATCATCATTATCAAATATGAATGATCAATTATTAATTATACAGCTCATATCGAAAAATATTTTACAAAATACTTTGCAATTCAGGATCAAATGAAGAGGTGATTAACAGGAAAGTAATGGCTCGAATGTAAATGAATATAACAATAAGGTTTATAATATTACAGAACAGACAAACTGGAGCCACTTAAAAAAAATTCAAAAATAAAAGTATTTACTGTAAATGTTAACACAGTTTGGATGCATTCAACCATTTGTTTGTCTCAATTGCGTATTTGGCGTTTGCAAACAAAATGGGAAAAAAAAATTATTGTTGATTTTACCTGGATAATTAACTTTTGATCATAAACATGTGAAACCTGCCTTAAAAAGTTAACATCAAGCTCCTGTCACACAGTTTTTCAAGTGTGCACAAACAGCCACTCATGAGTTCAAGTGGAAGACTTGCTGATGGGCTACATGACCACTGGGCTGCAAACGCAATTGGAGAGCTGTGAGCTGTGCCACTGCTAACGCTAGGAGCTAAGCTGCCATGAGAGCTCAGCCCTGTTGAGTGGCATGACCTTTTCCATTTCACAGCTGAAAGATCCACGCTGCCGGGCCGACCTTTACCAGCCAGTCTGATCCATCAGCTTTGCTGTGCCTTACTGACGCAGACCCTCCCCTGCCGCCCCAACACATTAAGATGGTGTTAACACCTATTAGTCCATGGATGTTCTTCCCTGACTCACCTTTGTGCTCCCTGAGTCAATGGCTCTGTCCACATTAAGCAGAGATTGTCCCTCGCCCTCACAAACACCTTCGGACCACAAGGCACAACTCTGATGTGCCCAGCATTGCCCTGAAATTTTGATAAAATATGTATTAATTCAAATTAACATATTGAGCACTTTAAGATGACAGATTAATATCTAAATATTAACTCTCCAATAAAAGTGTCACTGTCTTACCTGACTCAAAGACAGACTGGACTTTAAGATCTTGTGGAAGGCCAACATGAGACAATTCATCCCAAAATCGACTGGTTGGGTCTGGTTCTTCCTCACAGCTTTCAGACACACTGGAACAAAGGAAAAAGTTAGCAAGGAAAGCATGCCAGCACAGGTTTTTTTTTAAAAGAGAACAGCTAAAAGATGTGCTATGCAAGATAGAGAGACAGCCTGAATCAACTTAAAAATGAATCGAAAACAGAGACATAAAAGCTAGAGGACGATGTGTTTTTAAAAAGCAAGGAGATGTAGACAGAGAGAATGAGCTGGGGGAAAATGTTAGAGAGCAAATAAAAAGCTGTGGGGGAGGAGGGAGAGGAGGAGGAGGAGGAGGAGGAGGAAGAGGGCCTTCTTGTTTGGTGTGCGCACAAGAGGCTGGCTGTTCTGTCTCATAAAATCTGTTCAAAAGGATGTGTTTCTCTGAGTCCCTGGCTTGAACTAGTGAGCCACATAGCATGCGGAAAATGTGGAGAGGGAGCATTAGCATTTAAAAAGAACCTAAGTTCCAGTAAACAAACCAATGGCCAAAATCAAGACACTGGTTTCTGGAAGCATGATGGTGCAGACATGACAAACAGCCTTGTCAGATTATTGTTTAGAGTCAAACTTTTAACACAGGTTACGAAATGATCTTCTCCCACCTCCTCACATTTCCACAGTTCCCCTCCACCAACGCTGCTACCTGACAAATCAATATACAATTTATCCTCCTGCCCTGGGCTCCCTACTCCCCTGCCTCTGCGTGGCACAACTGAGGGCTGGCCCCAATGACCAATCACACAACTACAACACACACAACAGCTACTGGTTGGGTTTGGCATTGTGCCAGACCCATACCGCTCACACTGTCCATTACATTATTTCACAGGGAACCCAGAGAGCCTCCCAATTGGTTCCAAAGGACCAAAACAAATTAGGCAGCTGACCAAAAAGTGTCCAGGGAGGGTCCTTTGGTGGCATGGCATGCACGCATGTGAATGCTCTCACTCTCACACACGCGCACACGCACGCACGCACACACACACACACGCACACACCTGATGTGGCATCCCTCAGCCTCAGGGCACGGACGGATAATATGGCTTCTAGGCAAATTGATTTAGCCTTCAAAAGACAAATGACAACAATACCTGCTAACTGAGGGGTGCCCTTTGGCTTGTGAGGTCTGTGTATGTGTTTGTGTGCATGGTTCTTTGAGTGTATGGTCGAATGTGTATGTAAAATGTATTGAGTTAATTTTACCCAACACAGAAGTCCAAAGTAAGTTTGACCTACAACAGCATCTATTACTTCCCCACCTACGTTTATCATGTAAAAAGGGTGAGGCCAATGAAATGAGGCAGATTCTTTTTCTATGCAGCTCATTAGCTTTGTACAGCAAATTATCACAGATGAAATTGCAGCTTTGACCAACACTGACATCCAAGCCATTTGTTATAACACTGTCAGCCAGGCCTACTTACTTCGTCTTTTCCCTCTGTCCTGAGGTGGTCTCTCCAGCCATTTTTGACTGAGTGGTTTTATCACCATCACTGCTATCACTTGTCAAGCCACCTCCACCCTTTTGGCTGAATAGTGCTTCAAGCTGAGGCGTGGTACTGAATACTTGCAGATCCCCCTGACCCAGCAGGCTATGGCCACCGCAGTAACAGAAGGCACAGAGACGCTCACTGAAACAAAGAAAATGGGTGGTAGGGGGGTTTTAATTATATATAAGTACTGTGAGTTAAGACAGTGCCACGTGTGTCACCATTAATTAAGGCCTTCTTTTTCTGGCAATGGGACTGTCTGGGAGCAACATAAATACAAACACATGATGCCTTTGTTCTGAGAAAGGTTCTTAATTTAAACCACAGTAGGTGTTTAATTCAGCATTATTTTTTGCGCAAGACTTATGAGTTGAAAACAAAAAACTGAAGTTGTTATAGAAATGGTTTAGAGTCCATTTTAGAAAGGCATTTTGGAGGACGATAAATAGAAAAAACAAGATAATAGTAGCCAAGAGATTGAAAGTTAAGAAATAAAAAATACGGTAAATATTTATCACATTGTTAAGCAATGAGATGGCCCCGTTAATAAGATCCCTGGAGATGCTGCTGCTCTACCCTCCATCACTAACATCAATAGCAGAGACAGGCCAGAAGATGGATTATAACCTTTAACAGAGTGACGCCTGGGAGGAGAGTGCAGCCTTAACCAGCAGACTTGATCCATCCATGCATGTGCACACAGCAAGGCAAACACAATTGGCACATTGCAGAATACAAATGCACAATTGCACTCAAGTGCATTTACATGTTGACCAGGGCTGTGCCTTAAAACTAATTTCCCCATCAATTCATATTTCAAATTTATATTTGGACTAGGTTAGTAGTATAAATTATAACACTTGGAAAATTATCAAATGCAAATAGGAACACAGCATTTACAGGTGAATTATGTCATATTGGTTTACAGAGTGTTGTTGACATTAGCAGCGTTAGCACAAGTAGCCTTCCTTCCTTGCAGGTTAACCTCTAAATGCCTAAATTTTGTCATGCATCACTCTGGTTGAGGTTATGTGCCATTTTTACAAACCTAGCTTTAAAATGTACAACCATATTTACATTTTCTAGCTCAAAACACTGTCAAACCACATTAGTTTTCTGAGGTGTCATCTGTCCCACTTTTTAAAAACAAGTAAACTAAAAACACAGGATTCTTTATTTCTTACACAACGATGATCCAGGAGAAGTTTAGTGTTTCTAACCTGCTTTTGACTTCTCTACTTCCTGGGACAGATGGTCCTGCTGAATTCTCAGCTGGAGGGCTCTGGGCCAGAGGGCAAGAGGGATCGTCCTTCTCTGGCACCTCACTGGTCACAACTTCCACGGCCTCCACTGGCAGGATTTGTGTTTCTGATGATGACAAACAAATGAAATAATCGGTAACTCATTAAAAAATAAACATACAATATGATACTTGAGTTGGTAGGGGTCTCTCACTCAAAATATTGACAAAAGACCTAGTTTGATGACATAGTAAAGCAACGTGGGATCAAGGAAGCGGTTGTCTTCACCATCATTGCTGGTGAAAAATTACCTAACAATCCATTATGGGTGAATAATACAAACAGGGTAAGGAACTTAATTTAAACTCTCTGTCGTCATACACTGTTTTCCTGGGGAGTTATAACACTTTCTATTGCATTTGTGGGTATTGCTGCCCATGTAACACTCAATTGCTCATTAATTCATTGCCAATTATTACTGTAAAACCAGCATGCACTGTCGGACTAATACAAGCTGTCATGGGGAAACTGACTGCATTCTAGTCAGTTTGCTCCAGGTCAAAAACACAGCCTTTATTGGTGAAATGGATCTTAAAATATGAGGACCATATGCTCAAGCACTGATTACAGTAAACCCACTGGGAACATCAAGCTCCTGTACAGAATACCAACAACAACAGAGGCAGGCAAAAAACAAGAATAATGGCCAAAATGTATCAAGAAGTGGGGTTTAATATTAATAGGGAAAATAGTGCATGAATTACAACCTAGTCCAATTTCGTTGCTATCATGAGGGCTTTTGATCTAAATTACAAAAAAAAGACAAAGTTCACTGTGTCTGTATCACACAAAACGACTCCCAGAAGTACATCTCACTGGGACTTTGGGCCATGGAAATGTTTTATTAACGTAATGTAATTAGGCTAATACCACAATACTTCTGTGTCATCCAATGGAATAACACAAGGACAAATTCAAGCTCATTACCTCCTAACCAAATATAACTGTGAAAGACTTGAGATATGAGTGCATTTAATGATAACTTCTTATTCTGATCAACATTAATGTGTCGTAATGCTACAATTTCAAAGGTAAATGTTTCAGAATGTGGTGAGGAAAGGTGTCAAATATATTTAAAATCTTTATGTTGTCCAAGTGACACAAATCAGAGGTTACAGAATGAAAGAGGATTTTTTAGCTCAGGTCTTGACCTTTTCAGAAAACAGTTGTACCTTGCTTCCCCTCAGCTGCACTCTTATCACTTTACCGTGATGGTATAGAATTGTAGATTTAGTTTTGCCAAAAGCCTAAAGGCACAGAAAGCCACTGAGGTAACCACCAGTCTATAAGTTGAGCAGGGAGGAGACAGGGAGCAAAAACCCAAGAGCATCCTCTGTCCTTTTATTTTAGATTTTAAAATAAAAATTATGTGTTGTTGGTGTAAGGTAAACTACAGCTTATAAAAGAAAGAGTAGCCACTGGCAGAATTAGACCCCCCCAATATCTCCAGCACAGCAACAGAGCAAGCACTGAGATGTATAAGAATGGTAGGCATAGTCACATGATGTGATGTACACACATAGAAATGCACATAAATGGGTCTAGAGAGACTGATGGGATTTTAAAAAGCTTTTAGAGGGCATTAGCCTTGGGCTCTTTCCCACTGCACCTCAATGCCAATCTCGGAGCAGGAGGAGAGATGGAAGCAGTAAGGGGAGAAAAAAATACACACCCACTGCAGCTTCACAGCTCAAGCTAAACCCTTTCAATTATAGCACTGAAGTAGAAGCATGAGGTGCCAAGAAAAAGCTCTCATCCATCCTTCTCCAGGAGAGGTAGAACCCTCTGCCTTTGCTGAAATATGCTCTGAAGCATTCTGCTTGAGGCAGCCTGGATGTTCTAGTCCTACGTCAATACCAACCAACGTGTGTATGATGTATCTGCAAAGTCTCACCTGTGTCCTGAGTGCCTATGGACTCCGTTATCTCAGTCCCGTCCATACTGTCTTCCTCATCTACGGCAAGCCTTCCTCTGGTGCGACCCCTAAGGTGAGGAAAAGACACAAACAAATTAACAAAGGCTGTGAAAAAGCATAAGATAGGAGTGTTCGTGTTCGCCTCAAGAGAGGGGGTGGCGGTATTGTGGTAATGAATTAGTTAAATATAGTCACAGTTATCAATGATTTTCAATGGAGGGACACAAACCGCTGGGCAGGGTAGGATGGGCTGTAGCTTGGGGGTTTTGGGGGGGTGGCTTAACTGGATAACTTTGCTCTGTTAAATTTAGATCAAGAGTGAATCAGAATTAATAAGGAATGTTGGCATTCCCATTCACAAACCAATCTAAATGTACCACTGCTCATACACCAGCATTGTGTGTGTAGGTCTTCAGTGCAACTTTGTCATGTCCCTTGAGGGATGACAACTCATTAGTGTCTAGCTGAACATACTGAAACTGAATTTCAAATTAGAATGCAGACATCATGTATTATGTAATAATTGCTCTGTTATTTAAGACACCACAAATAATCTAATAATGGATGTGCATGAGTCATGTTTGGGATTTTCTACAATCATATCCTTGGGGATATTTGAGCCATTATTAGTGGCTTTGTGTATATATCACATCCAAATACACTGCCATTATTCAGCGAAGCTTTGGACAAAACCAATAATACAGAATAAGCATCAAATAATTAATTCTATACCATTGTTACCTCTGTTGTTTTTGCCCCCGTCCATTTTGTTTCAAGCAGGTTTATGTAAAATATACAGGAATTGCCACGAAACTTAGTGGAGGTTTTTTTTATTTTGACATGATCAGGACAATGGAATGATCCAGAATTTTTTTAATTTCTTTAACATTGCAAGATGGCATTTTTTGACATTTTCACTCATTTCCTAGGGAATAATTGATGAATCATGAAAAACTGATATCTGAGTGTGTAGCAGCCAATTTATCTAAACACTTGAAACCCTGAAAATAAGGCTAGTTTTGTATTCACTTAGTATAAGATATCAAAGCTGGGTATGTATGTACACTAGTGATGAGGTCCCCCGCCTCACCACTATTGTTTTATAGACTATTTCATTCTGGTGGAGCTGATTTAGGTTCAAATCATATAACTTTTTAAAGGAACTTTGGTTTTCTTGTGATAAAAATTTGAAGAAAAACATTTTATTTGAATTTATGCATTGGCAGATGCTGATTATTAAAGAACAAGGAGTAAAGGCCCAAGCAATAAAAACCAATTGGGATAGCCCTTCTCATGTGTCATTAATACTTATTTTCAAGATCCACTCTGTTGAGTGCCGAATTAAATGTCACGTTGGCTCTCCCCTCCCCACTTCCCTCTCATCTCTTTAGAAGATGTCACCACTGCCTTAAAGCAAGATTTAAAAAAAGCCATTATCTTACTGAATATGCTCCGTCAGACATCTAACATATTCAACCATGTACCTGTGTGTCAATATACACACACACCAGCAATTACATTTCTCTTCCACAGAATGGAGAACTCAGGGGGTTGGGCTAAATTTTCATGCCACTTGAGAGAAAAAAATCACAAATGGCTGGATGCCAAATCAACTCCTCCCTCTAAATGACTTCCATGTAAAGATAAGGAGAAACCAAAAAACCACAACAAACTAAAATGACAGTAGAGGCCTCTGAAAACATAAAATTACATGTAAGCTTGAGTCAAACATTAACATCTTAGTAAATTTGGAGCAACCACGTTTTAACAGAGACCTATTTTCATGTTGTTAAGGTCCACATAGTAACTGATGAGCCAGATACAGGCTGTCATACTATACTTTCAAATAACACTGGCATTAGTATCTCACAAAATCTAAACTCACACAAAATCCTCATGAAGAACAGGATTTTGTCCCACAATTAAAAATTATAAATGATGACTGAATGTTTATTAGAGGAACAAACCAAGAGACACAACTACAACAACTAAGATGTTTGTAGCACCTGCACTAACAAGCTAGAGAATCAAAAAACAGCAGTTTCATAATAGTAAATAGTGCATCCAAAATACAATTAGCTTTCTTTGTGCAATGTATGACTGCTTATGAGAGAAGGAGCTGGAACATTCCACAGAAAGAAAGAAAAATACAAGATGGCAATTATATACATTTCCACACTATACTTCATCTGACATGCACAACAAGGTCAGAGACGAGGTCCCGCACAGCTATGTACCAGGAGCAAGCTAAATGTGTAGAATAACAAGCCATTTACATCTTTCAGCCATATGTCGTGCCCAACACCTTCTCTAGCAGTCTTTCACATACACGTTCAGCTCACACTCAACGCAGAAATGAGCTGTGTGGGACATTTTTATCATTGACCACAATCTAGTGTGTACAGACAAACTAGTTGGTGGTGACCTCTTTACATTGCCTACTACACAGGACTAATCTGTAATTATACATAACTGAGCTAAAGGAATCAAATTTCAGCACAAAGGCAGTCAGTTATTTTACTGTCAAATGCTCAAGACTAAAATTCAACCCCATACCATGCACAACTTATCCCCCCCACAGTCCCACCATAGGGAGAGAGAAAAAAAGAGAAAAGGTGAAAATAATGCCATGGCAAGTAGTCCCAGCTAGCAAACTGCTGCCTGGAAAACCAGACACGGATCACTGTCATTCTTACGTGGACTGACTAGCAGATGGAGCGTGGGCAAATCAAGTAAATACTAACAACCGGGTCTACAAGAGTGATTTCTGACATGTCCTCTTTTGTCACAAGGAACCTGGATTTTCCACACTTAACATTTGTAATTGTATTATTTATTTATACATATTGCTTGTATTTGTTAGAAGAGGCAGCCAGTTGGTCTGACCACAAGATTGAGAGAAAATGTGTGGTTGAGCATAGTGGGTCGCTAAAATAGTAGTTTGGTCCCTAATCTTTTAAGACAGGGGCTTTCATTAACCTATTGCTTTTACAAACAATAGTGAGATTACTAATTAGGGTGTTTCAACATGAGGTCCATCCACAAAGCTCTGTCAATTGTTGAGTGAGTTATGGGACTATTGAGTTTTCAGGAGGTTCAGTGTTACAAATTCAGTAAAATCAGATGGATCAATAATGATCTCACAAAAACAACTAAAGTCTAAAATGTGACAGTGACAACAATAAAGACAAGAGCAGAACATTAAGTGCTGATGGTGCGATCTTGACATGTTCATCAACATGAAACAATTCAAGTCTGTCCCAGGTCATCCTTCCAATGTGGCATTAACGCATCATCTGGATGCTTGCAGATTAAACGATCCATTGGGAGCAGGGTATTAAGATTGATTGAGAGGACAGAGTAGGGAGAGAGTTAAGAACCTTGCAGGCATTTTATTACAGAGCAGCTCTAAGCTGCATTATATGTTGCTATGGGAGTAACAAAGAAGACAGACATGTTGTACAATACCTCACTACAAATTTCTCTGGATGTGTTACTCAAAAATGTATGAATATCTTTCATTACGACAGTCATTTTTCTGTTTTCCTCTGCTCGCAGGATTAATTTCCTCATTTCAACACGTTATAACGTGATATCCATTGATTTAAATGATAATGCATATTTATTAGAAAAACACACTACAAATGAGCGATAAGACATGTGGGGGTGTTGTAATTTATTATGAATGTATTTTTTTAAGATTATAGAATTTGTAATGTTTGTATTTCATTTAACCCATCAGACGGTTTAATTCCATAAGAGTTACAAGGGTAACAAAGCCTCTTTGCAATATTGTTGCTTTTAATTAAAATTAAATGTGATGCCTTATGCTGTGGAAAGTGTAACTGGCTTGACACCGGCATGTAGACAAAATAATATTTTAGGAATAATATTGGCCACGCCTCTCACCCAATGTGAGCTGAGATTGGCTCCAGCTGCCCCCCTGTGAGCCTCATAGGATAAGAGGAATACATAATGGATGGATGGATAATGATGTATTAATTCCATATTTTGATCATATCCAATTCAAGTAATCAGAAAAAAACACTACTGTATAAAATGACGAAATTATTAATGGTATGTTGAGGAAAAAACCTACTTCTTTCTGTTCTTCGGTGTGGATGAGGGTGGCGCCTGGGGTAGGATGGCAGCAGCATCCTTGCGTGGCCTGCCACGTGGTCGCTTGTCTGAGTGGGCAGGACTTTCTGTGGACGTGGCCCCTACACTGCTGGAGGGCGGTGAGGGTCCCTGGTCAGAGGGCTCCACAGTCTTATCCTCTGATGACATTCTGAAAAGGATTTTTTTTTTTGAAAAAAGGTAAAAAAAAAGAAAAAAAAAGATGAGACTATGATGTTTAACAGCAGGTCATCCAAGCTTGGATAACACAACTTTTCACAACTGATGAGTGCCAATTTTCACCTCATTTTAATTCATATTCTCAACAGGCTTTTAAAGAATTAATAGGAAACAGGAGATGACATGAAATAGGAAAATTAAAGCCAGAATGTTAGATGAAGGAACGTGGGAGACTTTCAGATGTCCATATATTTTTAAGCATATTTGATACAGCTATATCTATCCCTCAGACAAACAGGGCTGCAGTGTTGAGTGTGTAGAGAAAGTTCAATAGCTTGTGATGCAATCACGTCTACTCCACTCACTTCTGATAAATATTCACTAAACTTCATCCATTTCTCAGATCTGTTTGATCCTGCACCAATACTTTTTGTCCTTGGGCATCCACTTTGTAATGATACAAACCTACTTCAGACCATATTCTATGGGTTTGAAGTATTCTGCTTGTGGTTTATGTGCCTAAGGTGCATTACCTTTACTCTATCTAAATATTCCTGCATTTTTTGCCAAAACACCCTCTGTATCTAAAACTGAAAAATGATTATCTCTGGGCAAAGACATATTCATCAACTTAGCTTCCATCCTATGTAAGTGGACTGGAGCGGCAGCAATTTCCACATCTTTCTCCAAGCATTCTGCAGTCACTCCACATGCAGCAGCTCCAGGTTTTCTATTTCACTGCAACCCACCCCCAACAAACCACTCAATGGTAAATATGGTGAATGCTACCTGGTAGTTGCATTCTACAATATGAAGTGAAATTAAGGTGGCTCAAAGTATACTAAAAAACAAAACAAAGGTAAACTGATTTAGATTCCTCTTGGGTTATGTAAACCATGTTTGGACAACAGAAACATGTTGCCTGCCAAAGATATTTCTATTCCACTTATATTGTATATTTCAGTGAGTTAAGAGCATTGTGGGTAATGTTGCAAAATCATTAAATAGGATTGCTTAATGTCGGAATAACACAAAGGCAGAAAATAAATGTCTTGGTGTATTATTTTGTGTAGATACAACTTATTCATGGGATGATGTACAAACTTTCCATTACAGAAAACCGTGCTTCTATGCATCCCTCACATGCTCTTGTATAGGGATGTCACGAGAAGAGATACTGCCAAAATTCTAACGTTACGGTACTCCTTCTAACTGTACCGGAGGTACCGGACAATACCCGCCCACCACTGCAGGATGATTGCCGCACATTGCATGCCCGGTGTCCTTGTACCATGCCGTATTACCCTGCTGCATGTCCTCCCTCTTCACCCTCTCTGCTGACCTGCACTTACTTTGCAGTGCTTGGGGTTTGCTTTGTAAATAACGAGACGTAACATGCTGAGCACAGCCAACACATCAGGGTGAAAATGACCAGAACAATCTGGATTCATGATTTGACATCATTGATTAATAATGGACTAATTAGCGACAGAGATGAGCAGGCAGACACACACATGCACTCTTGCGGGCGGGAGAGAGGTTCTTCCCACAGATTGTGACACAACACGCTTCGTTATTGTAGAAAAAGCAATGCCCCAGTTATCCAGGAACACGGATGTGACATCAGTGGGTTATTGTGGAGAGTAGTAGTAATAATAATAATATTAAGGAAAAGCTTGTACTTTTCAATCCTTCCTGGGTTGACAATGTGACTGTCATGTCTTGCAAATGACATTTAGCATCCAATTGTGTGGCTCAATGATTTACAGAGCTTGAAGTGTTGCTGTTGACCAAATGAGGGATTTCTTTGGTTCAGAAATCAAACACTTATTAAAATCTTATCCTGCATCTCTCATATTTTACCAGTCACTGATTCAATACATGTTGGGGTAATTTAGCTTTCTTTTCAAGACTGGTTTTTCACACTGTACAAACATGGATAATCTCCAACAGTACTAAAACCATACCTTAATGATGACCATTGGCCATTTCCAATTGAAATTAAAAGGAAAAATACATTAACTGTGTTAATAAGGTGTTGGGCCACCAAACGCTGCCATAACAGTTGGCAAAGATTCTAAAAGTCTCTTGAACTTTTATCGCAGACTCATCAAAAAGATGTTCCTTTATTTGGTATTTCTATGAAGTTGCTATGAAATGTGGTTACTGCAAAGGGCACATCGTTTGGAGCTCAAACCATTTGATGACCTCCTTGCCCTGTATGAATGCATCTGTGCAATTTATTTTATATCCTCTATATTTCTTGAGGTTTTTTCCTTTAATATGTCATTTGTTTGAGTTGTGCCAGTATCTTGTTGAATCGTGTTAAGATCCAGCCTCTCTCTCAACAAAGTAGTACAGCTAAGATTTTGACTGTGATGCAGCACAGATAATATTTTGCTCACCACTTAGAGCTTAACTGCTACATAATAAAAAAGTGCATACAGATTCAGATTAGAGCATATTTTTCGTTTTTGGTTGGGATGTACTCCTAAATTGTAAATGGATGTTTCCAGTCAACCAGTACAGAAGACTATGTGCCCAGCCCATCACTTTACGACAAAGGACCAACACTGTGTCTACAGTAGATGCATTTCAACCGTTTTTTTAGTTGACCATCTTATGTGCATCTCTCAGTACAGATTGTTAGCATAGCAGGTCATGAATTGTGCACCACTGTGAGGTGAATCATTTCTCTCTTCTTCTGACTTACATGCATCACAGCTGATCAAATATTTCACTGCCAGTAATGTTAAAACGCCTATTTCACATCAGAACTGCATCTGTACCCGATCTGGACAGTGACAATTGACTACAGATGTAACCATTGGGCTGCTTTCACTACAAGAAATGTAAACAAATATACTCTGATAAATTACTCGTTGGTTAGATGTTTATAACACAGGTATTTTTCACTCATTTGGCTAGCATCTGACGAAGACAGAAAGTAGCCATTTCTCCAAAACATCTCTTTTTGGAAAGCAGACTACCTCTGAACAGCAGAGGAACAATGCCTTCCACATAGATTAAATAATAAAATCCACACATAGAACCTCTTGCTAGATTGTTTTTCTGCGCCAACATGCAACTACATCAGACTACATTATGACTAATATTTTGAATGAGTCATGAGAACGTCAACTTTTTCATTTTCGGTAAAGCAAAACAAATAATGGTTTCGGAACCATGGTCGACCAGATTTGCATTATTTTGCTGTATCCTGTAAAATGTAGCTAATGACACATCTGTATACTTGTTTGTAATTTGTTGATTGGTCCCACATTACATAGACTTGCTCTGTTTTTAAACTGAACTGTTATTTAGAATCAGTGCTATTGTGGGTAGTAATGTGCTGTGGTTTGGGAGGACATAGTATGGCCTTGGCTGATTTCAACATTGTGCATCACTGAGCCAGGAGAGGTCTCATGTTTTTTGCTGTTCGATATTGTGGAACTAATACCATCTTCTGCTGCTGATCTGTGGCCATTCTCCCTTGCTCTTATGTCTATATTGGCCTCCAACAGCCTCCGGGCTCTGGACAGATGGCGGTCGAACAACACCAAACTCCACAAGAAATAGTCATTATAGCAGTTGAATTGTCAGTGCAATTATCCAGACGATATGAGAGTCAGAGCTAACATCTTAAAATCAGGAACAAGGACAGGGGCTAAAGCTGCTCCCAAATCACCACACGGGATAAAATACAGTTGAATAAGGACCATTTGAGAAGCAGGTAAGCCTCACTAGAAAGTGATGAAAAGAGCCACTCGAGGCAGGGAGCTGGTGACTCCCCGGCAGTCACGACCACCGTGGACACAATTGCTAACGTTAGCTTTTGTTAACTCAAGCTTGGGCACAAAGCAGCTGCACACAGCTAACGATAGCTAGCCTGTTGTGTTGAACTCTGTCGCCTTTTCTTTGGCGACCACAGACAAAACAAAGTGCAGTTGACATCGATGGGGCAGAAAAAAAGCACAAAGGAGCAAATCGATCTTTTACAAGACTGTGATCGTGATTTAAACTGGATTCGGGTTTGAGGGACATTTCCCGGTGAACTTTGAAAGAGGCTCCCTCAGCAAACAGGTTACCTATGGATGCAGTTAGTTGGCCAACTCATCGCACTAGCTCGTAACGCCTCCACCAGAAAAAACACCAAACCTTTCTGCTTCTGCCTTCTATTGTCCCGCAGCGGACACTACAGTCCTGTGGGTGATGGTAAACTTTACTTGTAACAATGTCCGTGAGCCCACCTCCCCACTGGATACAAGGCGATGATGGGCATTCGTGCCCAACACACACACACAAAGGCTCGGTCTATTCAACGGAACGGAACTGTTCTGGTGGAACTACAATGCTAGGCTTAAAGTGAAAATGACATGCTATACAATGACGTAAGCTTTATTTCTGCTTTCTGTTTCAAACAAAGGGTGGTTCTGCGGGACTCCTGAGCTCAAATTGTGTTTTAAGCGATTTAAAAAAGTGGCTAGCAGCCCTCTGTTTCTGGCTATACAGCGCCCATGGACCCCTCTATTGAACGTTCCCTTCCATTGAATAGTCTGAGTCATGAGAGCCAAGGCGGCGACAAACCCCCAACATCAGACTGGAGGTGGATAACGTCGGCTCAGCTTCACTTCAAAAAATAAAAGGTGAATCCCACACGAATGTAGCCTGCGTGGGAAGAAATTCAACTCCTCAGCGGGTCTTACCTTCCAGCCCTATGAGTAGCGAATTATCCTCTTCATGTCCAAAATACTGGGAGATGAAACGTCGCACTTATATCACCCCAGCTAGCTAGCAAGCTAACCGCGCTAGCTAGCCTCTCTCCAATGAAGCAACACCGCAGTTCTCAGAAATGCATCACGCATATCATTATATTCCAACGCTGCGATGTTATTCCCAACTTTGCCCATTTGATGGAAGGGCGGCTCATGTAAATCCAACAGAATGGCGCTTCCCTTGCATTCGGAGGTGGTGGGGAGAGATCACTTTCCTTTCTCCAATGACAGCTGTCGTCGCACGAGTTGGGGTTATGTAGCTAGTTGGTGTTAGCCACCCAAGTGTACGGCCAACAATTCTACCATTAACGTGCGGAGGAAACGAAGCCAGGAAAATCCAAGCGGCTGCAACAGTCAGTGAAACGCAACTTTAAACGCGAATCCCCGGTGACCGCGCAGTCAACGCTGGGTTCCGACCGCTTGGTTGGCAACTGGTTCTATTTTCTTCAGCTGCGACCGACGAGCTGCGGGACCAAGCGGCCAGTTAGGAGACTCTCGCGGCCAGCCTGCCACGCAGCACCCGCCGCCCCCCGAGGCATGTAGCAACAAACATTAGCTCGCCAGAAATACCACCCCGCCTGCCACAGGGGCCGAGCCGCGAATTTACCCCGAAAACAAACCACAAAATTAAGTTGAAGATGACGCTCCGGCGGACTCTGTAACGGTGGCCATATCTAATGATAAGTGGCACCGCAGCACAGCCCCTCTAGGCTCCTCAGAAAAGTAGACCCACCTACCTCTGCCAAACACTACCGCACGCGAATCTTTCCCAGCATCGACGCGACTCGTCGACGGAGCGATGTTCGGTGAATCTATCAGCTGATCGATACCGTCGATAACAGCACGTGGGGGAAATAATCCCACGTAAAAAGCGTTTGGCAATTTCTTCAAAATACTCTCTGACCCTGCGGAGGGATACGGGCATTTAGTAAATAAAATAATGGCTGCGGAGAGCTGGAAGAGACGGAGCCTGGAGTCTCAGTGAGGCTGGAGGAGGATTGTGGATCCTCTTGGTTGCTCATGCAAATGTTCGCAGCGACAGCAGCGGCTGGAGTGAGTCCTGCCTCCATCAGCCTCCTCCAGAGAGAAGGGAACACAACACTGGATCAACTTCAACACGCAGGGGTTGGTCCGGAGCCCCCGGGTCACTCCCAGTGTGGAGGACCGACCAAATGCATCCGATCACCTCCCTGCCTCTCCTCTGTCATCCACACTCACCACAGGCCCGAGTGTTCAGCAGCCTGCAAACAGGCAGACATACTGTACATGCAGGGGTTAAATTTCGGAAAAGCCCCCAGGGGTCGGCTTCCAGTGGCTGTGCATAATATGTGGTAGAGCCAGTGAGCAATCGTGTTTGCGTGCATTCTCCTTTCCCCTCTTTTTTGTTGTTGTTGAGCGTTTTACTTTTCAACTTGCTGAGTTCATTCGAGTGAAGCTCAGAGAAAATGAACGTGGAATAAACACAGGCCTGTCCCTTTAAATGCTAAACCATGCTACACCATGGTACCACTTTCCTAGACTGTGAGCTCCCCCTGCTGGACAACACACCACAAGCCACACTACGTGTTTACATTTTTTTTAATCAACATGATTAAAGGGATAGTTCACCCAAAAATGAAAATCCACTCATTATCTACTCACTACTATGCTGAGCGGTGGGTGAAAAGTGTTTGACTCCACAAAACCCTTTTGGAGATTCAGGGGTAAACAGCGTTGCAGCCAAATCAGATACGACTGAAGTAAATCGTGACCACTTCTTCAAATGTAAAACAACAACAAAAAAGGTAACTTTGGTTTGGATTGTTCATCACAAACTCATCAGCATTGGTTCCTGTTATGGAAAGAGTGTCTATTTGTTTACTATTCAGTTGCATCTGAGTCACTCATCAAAAGAAAGAAGTAGAATGGGACTCATTAAACTCTGACAAGGCCCAACAGTCCCCGTATGAAATCATATCTAAAGTCCCTATATCTGAATTTAGTGTCCTAAGCATAAATATTGAAAAACACCCTTCATCACAGTGTCAAAGAAAGTAAAAAATCTTCACGGGTAAACACAGATGTAATGGGAGCACCGACGTGTGTTTCCATGCACTGAGTCATCTAAAGTCGTAATTTTGGGTCAGTGGTGTTGCCTGATGTCAGTGAAGTGGGAGACGCAGCACTTTCTAAATGATGACCTTTGAGCTGGTGTTTGTTTACACCTCTAACCACCATTGACCTAATTACCTATAGAACCACACCAAGCCGCTGTTAAGTGATGCATCACTGATACTGTTGAGGACCTAGTGTAGACAGTGTAGCTACTACTCTCCCAAGTCAAGTCACTGCGCTCTTGTCTGATGCAATAAATCCTCTTTATACCAGAACTGATTTTTTTCACTTCGACAAATAAATAAAAGGCATTATTTGTGTTTCCTTTTTGTATTTATTCTTGGATGTAGATTCAAACATCAGTCCTTCCATTCAAAATCACTTTTGACACAACATGATACATATACACTTCACTGTAAGATTTAACAGTATATTTGTATACATGTAAAACAAAGACTAAAGCTGCAGGTTTCTTTTTAAACGACATCAAACATGTTCGTTTGTTCAGGGGTAGGGATGTACTTTGATAAATTTCAGACAGAGGGCAGCATGCCTCTGTTTTATTTAGCACTGGCAATCATAATATGATCAAACTGCCAATTATAATTCAACTTGATAAAATGAGGTCTGGCTGTTTTCTGTCTTTTCTGCCAGCGTCCATCTATTTATTCGAGTTATTAAAAGTATTAGTACCTGGTTTGTCGTGAGTTTCTTTTCCTCACTTGAGAGACATTGTCTTAAACCTTCTTTATTGTGAGATATCTGTGTGTCGGAGATGAAATGAGCAGACCAGAGCAGGAGGAGCAACAACAAGCCATGTGTAACGTTACAATAATGTGTCTCATGAAAACACCAAGTTTCACATTTGGTGAATGATTTCCCACCTGAAATCATATATCATTGTATGAAACCTTTTCATGCTCATCCACACCTCCATGTAAATTCATAATGTAGATTTATATAATTATCAGCTGGCAAATGTGCTTTAATACACTAAGTCATCCCAGGGAAAATAATACATAATTACATGCTGAATGGATACATGCTCAAGGAGCACTTTCTGGTTGTTAAACTTAATTGATGCCCTTTGGCTATCAGCATTAAGGACTAATTTTTAGGAGAATGCTAAAGCTCTATGACTGGGAGATAAAGTAATCTTCTTTTAAAACTAATGACCTGCGCTTTTCTGGCCAAGCAAGTCACAAGTGGGTTAAAGTCTTAAAAAAAAAGCATATACTGTGTGAAAAAATGACTGCTTTCTGTTTGTTCCTTTTTTCCCTCATGGTGATTTGAAATCATGCAACACAAGGATTTTACTGATTGTTGTAAACAAAGTCTGACATTGTATGTGTTGCAAGGCATGCAAAATATATCATTACTGAAACATGATGTTTAACAGAGAGACTCAAAATGGTCTGAAGAAATATCATTATCAATGTAGAGAGAGGAGGCTTTATAAAGGCAAAGCACGATGTTGTTCAGGGTAGGCAAACGGCAGCTGCAGAATAAAAGGACAGACAGCTACCAGGTGAGCAGATGGATCATATTCATATAATGGGAGAGACGAGAAATATGATACCAGATGCTGGGCTCTTTGTCTGCAGAACAGGTATTGCACAATCCAAGCTCATATGAATTCATTGCAGAGCGAGATAATTATTTTTTCCAATAATTACATGCAGCACACATCTCTCTAATATGTTGTAAAAAATTAGGCTCAGTGTGAGGGCTGAAGACCATCGAGAGTACACAAACTTCAAAAGGCTCCGGGATAGGGAATCTGTTTTAATCTTTAATTTCAAAGAGATAAAATGTTTAAATATTTCAGAGACAAATTTGCATCATAATTTCTTCTGACAATGGGGAGTTTAAACTCAGTGTGGGGCGACTGTTGCTTACCTTTAAGAAGAGAGGGGCTGTTCATCACGTCTAATTAAAGAACAAAACTGTGAACTTTTACAAACTAAACTTTGGGTGTTTTGTTTGAATGGGGTTTATTAAGCAGACAGAACCGGATGTGTAGGTGGATGTAAGAGAAAGAGACGGAAGGGGAGAGAGAAAATGTTTCTTCTGGCCGCATCTCAGAAGTCTTTGTAATTTCACTGGTGCCTGAACTGTTAAATTTCCACTGCTTTTAACTCGTCAACACCAAAGACATTGTGCATCAAATGTGCTCAGATGTTATGAAGAAATATTAGTCAGCTGTACGGACATTGGTCTGCTGTGTAGAGCGGGTGCAACCTCCATCTTGAAGGAGTGGTTTCTCAGGTTCCATACAAAACACAACTTCACGTTGAATATTTTATTTCATTAATTTATATCATAACAATGTCTTTTGTATTTTTCTTTTTTGTGATTTGTGTGACTTTGAGGTTGACCTTTCTTAGTTCTTATGAACCATGAGGGAAATTGATTGCGCCCCTGAATAATTTTTGAACCGATAAAATACAGGAAAATGAATCCCAGCTTTGTTGGAAAGATAAAATTTAAATTGAAGCAGAGGAGGTTTTCTATTCTTCTGGCTTTTGCACAAGCTTTAATGTATAAAGGCTTCTGAATGCAGTCCCTACTTGATGAACAATTCTATTGCCCATGGCTGGAGGAGCTAATTAGAATCTATTTATAATCAGAGGGGAATATATATCCAAAGAGCTGAGAGAGGGAGGACAGAGAAAGAGAGAGGGGGCTAAAGGGGAGTGGGTGTCGAGAAATCAGTCTGCATGCTGTGATATCTGAAACCAAGAAGTTCACGTCCAAGGCGCCAGACAAAACCAAATTAACAGGTTCACACGGATAAGACCAGAGTTTCTTTCTTTTCCTCTGGACTGGAGCAGCAGTTTACATTCTTGAGTAACATGAGGACATAATTGTGCTGATGAAGAAGAATCACTTTAAAGTTTCAGAAACTTTCTCACTGCAGCTCATATTGGAGTCATGTGTGAAGCTCTTGTGGGGGACAGCTACAGTCAGAGAGGCCCTTCAGAGAAAGGGAGGGTGCAGAATGTGTTTGCACTCATTATCAAACTATCAGAACTCATTTGCCAAGATGATATTAAGATACTTCTGCATATCAAATAAGAAAATTGCTATTCCGGTCTCTGCATCTCTTTGACTATAACCTTCATTTGCAATCAGCAGTTTCATCATCAAAGATTCAGACCAGGAACAGGCCGTGCTTCGCTGAGCATGCTGTCGTCTAACTGCAGCCAGCCACTTGTGTTAATGCAGTGATGTGACCCAGAGCCGACATGAAAACCAATGGGTTCAGTGGCCCACCCATCATCCACATACACGAGGCATTAATGGTCGACTTGTGAATCACTAAAACACCCAGTCACATGTGCACAGGCAAAGTGGGACACAAGCATGACAGGTCAATACCCTATGAGCTTATGTCACACTGACAGTGAAGGAAAAAGCCATTGTTTATTTAAGCCTCTGGAATCCATCTATTCATCACCGGACATTTACAGTAACATAACTCTATTAATATATCATCCATATATCAAGTATCTCATTTATATCTATAGACAATAAAACCCTTGAGTGAAATAAATCTGTCATCAATTAGTGTTCTAAGTTATTTACAGGCATACATTCAGGACTATCATTCACCAATACGAGTTGGTATCTAAATAAACAGTGTAGTAGTTTTATGTCTTACATATTTATGATTGATTATGGCTAAAGATTTGTTTGTTTCACAGTTGTCTGTGTCATCTTTCTTGTATTCTGGGTTTTTGGCAGCGTTATGCTTCAATGAATTGAAAAAAGAGGTCAGACTAAGTTTAAGCTGAAAAGATGCATGAAAACTTATTTAAAGGTAAGGGTACAAAAATAGTACGAACTTAACAGAAGCCTCTGATCCACTTTTAATATCCTGGTTTGCTAAAGAAACAATTCACTGATGTAACAGAGTTG